TATAAAAAAAATTATATTTGGCTGTGTATTCTATTTAACGCCTTTCGCGGAAAGCATCTTTCGCTAAATCAATGTCTTGTCCACAGATACAAAATACAAGTTGCTGTCCTTTAAAAAAGGACTGCAATACGTCGACCATATGCATGTTTCTTCTAACTGAAATTCAATTAAGGAAATTTCTAAGTGTAGGGAATATTCATGTAGGTTTGTTCACTTATTCTATAAAAATCTGCCTACTTATAACTGATTGTAGTCTCAAAGCACAATTGTGAAATTTTATCTCCGATTAGGGACCTTTAGTTTTGTCAGTTAAAAAAAATCGGGTTATTTTGACACGTGTAACTCATACTGGCTAGGACTTGACACCTGTACTGGATTTATACGGAAGAAATTTATCATGGGAAAAATAGAGATGTGATGATTCAGGAGTAGCACAGTTCTGTACCACGCAGATTTTTTTTGTCGGAACCCCCCCCCCCTCCCCCCACACACATTTGAAGCCGTTGCTACAGACCTTTATCAAACGATATTTAGATTGCCGAAATTAAGCTATCTCTGTGCGTTGAGTGACGTTTTTCATTCATGTATCTAAATACTGTAACTTCTTAAAATGCTTGTACCATAGAATCAATGTTTAGAATAAAAGTATATGTAAAAAAACAATATGTTCCCAAACTCCGTTTGGGGAACATAAAGAGAGAAAATCGGATCCGCAAATGAATAAGTAAATGGGATATACAGATTTAAAAGCGCGATTTGCCAATGAATCGCACGTTTTAATTCGAATAGGGCGAATTATTCTACGGGCAAGTTACCTAAGGTGCGAACTTTCTAGCATTCTCGCGCATGCGTAGCCTGTCGTTTGCCCAGGGCATCCTGTCTAGCCTCGCTTATATATTTACTGCGTGGACCTCAGGGTAGGTTTACAAAATGCATTAATTTAACAATTACAACAGTTACAAGTGTTGAGAGTATTACAGAGATGAGTTCACGAACCTGTAACCGTAATGAAACGATATTTAAACAATATGAATTAAAGGTCTTTAAAAAATTGTTAGGAGATTAGTCTACTTACTTTTTCCAACACCCAGCACTTCTGCTGCAGCAGTGACGTCAAACATGACGCAGACTTGCATCCGATAGAAGTCAAAACCGGTCTGGGAAAAATACGGATTTTTTTTTTATTTTACTCAAGTAATAAACCCAAACCCAAAAGATTTGAAATAAAAAGCAAATTAATTTATTCATTATCAATTTTGTCTGGGATATGCATTATTACAGAAAAAGAAAATTGTGAAAGGTTTTTTTTTATAAGGGAAAGGGGGGGGGGATAAACAGAGTAGAACTTAATTAACATAAGTCTAACAAATTCTTTTGAAATTGATGTACATTTAAATTACTATTGAGATATATTATTGAAATTGCAATTTTACTTGAGTATACCAAGGGCAAATTAGTGAATACTGTTTCATATGATTCTCATATGATCACTGTGTCATATGATTCTCATATGATCACTGTCAAAATATTCATATGATTTTTACTTGAGTATAACAAGGGAAAATTAGTGAATATGGTTTCATATGATTCTCATATGATCAGTTTCATATGATTCTCATATGACCACTCCAAAATATACATATGATTCTCATATGTAGGACATTTCATATGAGAATCATATGTATTTTACTTCATATGATTAACATATGTATGATCATATGATTCTCATATAATTTGCCACATATGATTCTCATATGATTGTATACACATATGATTCTCATATGATCCACATATGATCCACATATGAAAGGCAATGCATATGTGGATCATATGTGGCTAAATTGCCTATGTACATGTACACGTATCTAATATTGATCAAACAGATATTTCTTTGAATCATAGTAAAAGTTCGTGGACAAAAATTCAGCATACATTACAAGGAGTTTTGAAGAGACATCAAATGATAAATATCGGTATGTTTTTTAAGAAAGGTTACCAAAATTTTAATCATATATATTTTTTCTTCAAAATTTGATTTAGAAATGTTCTAATTTATCATAAAAATTAATATTAGTTCAACAGAAGTCTTTTTAAATACTTGAAATGTTTATGCAATGCAGAGAATATGTAAATTAAACTCAAAACTCCATCATTCAGGCGAAAATTAAAATATACAAGCAGTTATTTATCCAAAGGTTATTAAACTCTCCCACCGGAAAAGCGGTTAAAGAGGTTCATCTTATCTTTAAATTCAGCAATATTTTGGAATTCGTATCTGCGGTAGGTGTTTGGTATCTAAAGATGTACTGTAAGTGGTCTCATAATCGGATGAAAGATAGAAACATTCTGAATGACATAAATTGTTTCTAAATAACCCCAATTTATGAATGACATATAACTTATTTAAACCTTCTCAAATTTATGATCAGTTATTGGTTTAGAAAATGAATTTAGGAAGGCTAGTAAATATATTTTCACATTGATAACATTAATTTCAATATTAACAATAAGACTTCGAAGTATAGGATAGAATAAAGCCCAAGAAAAAGTCTTATCTTTTACTGGAAAATAATGAAGTTCAATGTCATAATTTTAAGATCGAATTAAAATAACTCAAAAAACCTAACAAGCAAACAGAAATGGCTACCTCTTTTATGGACCCAAGTACACGGTTCTCATATCTGAAAAAAAAAACCAAAGGAAACCCAAAATTATAATACACTGTAATTTTTCTTAGTTTTGTCTATAAAATCATAGAAAAAAGTCTTTTTAAGTATATGTTACCTATATATATATATATATATATATATATATATATATATATATATATATATATATATATATATATATATATATATATATATAATTATCTTAATCTTTTAATCTGGTTTTTATTTCAACCTAGTGATTCTACTATAAATAAATTTGTGGAAAAAAAATTATGTCAAATCGAGAGAAAGGCTTGGTCATAAGATTTATATTCTGGGACAGAATAATAACGCATTTTTATTGGTATAAATTTACTTCCTCCTATGTTGTGAATTGCTCTTCTGTGAAATTATTTTTAAAGGTTAGACACTTGTCGGTGCACTATATGCACTGAAAATGTTCTTTCAGGAAGAACTCAGTATGTATACATGTTAGGCATTCCACATATACAAAGATAACAAATGATAACTAGTCCTTCAGTTTTAAAATCAGGTTTAAATTTTAAAGTTCTTTTGTTGGTATTTAAAAGGAAATGCTGATGATATATATTTTTTAAATTTTTGTATGATCTTTAGATGAAAATACATTGTGAATGCCTTGAACATAAATTACAATTAAAAGGACGGGCTTTTAAACGCCACATGACCTAAAATTCAATGAACTATCATTAAAAAATAAAAATATCTACACGTAAGTTTCCTGTCTTCTATTTTCCATATTCATTGAAGCAAATATATTTTAGAATATCATTTTTTGTATGTAAAGAGTGTTTTGTAGAGGAACTGTCATTACCATCAATATTTCCGATTCACTTTGAGATGCCATCTTCGAAGCCCAAATAAACGGTACGATTTTCTAAAATGTATTTACTTTTATCTAAAGTGTCGGTTTTTACACCGTGATATTAATTTTGATTTTGAGTGATTTTTGAAGAACAAAAACTATAACAAAGAGATGAAGGAACGAATAATAAAATAGTTTTAGCTGTGTGGTTCACATTTGATATTGGTTTAAGACTTGTGAATTCATGTACGTAAACATAGCTAAAAAAATAAAAAATTTTCAGATATTAAGGGGACGAAGGATATAATGGTCACGTGACTCAGTTTAATTACGTCATAATCTCTGATAACATATGTACAAAACCAGATTGAAACCACAGTATTTGGAAGGAAAAAATGACTGTTTGTTGAGTTCACCATCTTGTATAAAAATATCTAAAAACATTCAAATTTTCTCGCAAAATATTATCAAATTACGGAATAGATTGATCCACTCTTCTGTTTCCCAACACCGCGCGTCCAACGACAAGCTCCAGACAGCTCAGTATTACGTTACGCTACAACTCCATATCAGCGCATTATTCGTAGGGCACGAAAGTAGTCCCGGAGAATTTACACTGTATGGAGTTTGGTCCAACGAGTCGCTGACGTCATAGTGGATCTTAGTACAGTAAGATTATATACAAGGTAAAACACGGGTAGTGTAATATCATAAAAACGGGTCATGATCAGTACATGATGGGATATTTTATTAATTACAGAACACAAAAAAATATTTTTTACATGGCTGTTGACGAAATATATTGTAGTTATGTCTTACTTAGCTTATTTCGAAAATTTTGTAACGTCATAGTAGGGTTTTCCCGTACTCGAGAAATAAACATGAAACGTTTTTATCATGCTCATGTCTTGTTTAACTATGCCCTGTGCAATATTGAGCTCAGCTTCACCAATCGATATTTTTACAGTTAATCAATAACATGAAGAACTTGCATTTCAACGTAATTTTTTAAATATTGAATGATAGGATTTTTTGGAAATTAATTTTTTTGTTGTTTAAGTTGTCTTAAAAAGAACGTTATTTTCCGTCTCCAGATGCGGTGTGACAAAGAATATTTCTTTTTCGAATTTTTAATCCTATTCATACTCTGAAATATTTTAAAAGACACATGTTTGCTGACAATTTTTTTTATCTATGCTGAAAAAAATCCATTATGGACTGAGTAATGGACCCAAATAAATACGGAGAATCAAAACTTCACTCAGACACTGTGGGGCATAGTATTTGTCACTTAATATCTCAGAAATAAATCTAGAAACCTATTGATATATCTACTTTAAGGCATGTGGGACATACTAAATAAGAGATATACAAAATATGAAAAAAAATTGAATGACAGGTATTTTTTCAGGTAAAGGTCCTTCATCCCCTTAATTGGTCGATCATGAACATTCAACTTTTTGCTCTGTTTATCTTCGTTGGCGTTTTTCGATGTCAAAAGAATCGCCATGCTTCAAGGAGATATACATCTTGGAGGGTTGTTCCAAATATTTAGTGACGGGGAATGTAAGAATGATATACAACCAATGTCTGTTCGAAACTTCGAGGCTGTGAAATGGACACTTAACAAGCTAAATCAGAATCAATATATTCCAGGAATAAAGCTTGGTAAGTACATGTCATAAAATATATGGAGATATCTAGGAGTACTCGAGCTCAAATGCGCATTAAACATAAAATAGGAGCGGAGCAAACACGGACCTCCAAAACATCAAAAGTAAGATCAGGAGCATTGGAGGGATGAGCATCCCTGTCCACCAGTCAAAAAAGTTAAATGACTGAGTCATCAAGAGAAAAATAAATCAGATTCAAAAGATTCCAAGCTCTTTGTACCACAGTAGATTATTACATTAAGAATGAGGAATGAAAATGAGAATCATAATAATAATAGAATAACACTATTTGTTTTTATTTCTTCATAGGGATAGAAGTGTTTCCAACATGCAATATTCAGGGAAGAGCTTTGGAATACGCAAGTAGAATAATCAACAGGAGGTTTACGGAACAAAAAGATGAAAGTGTGGCGCCTATCATAGGTAAACATTAAAAAATATTCAATCAAACAGGAAGTTCTGAGTTTATTTAAGAAATAAACAGCAATGTTAAAAAGTTCTCTGGAAATGAACTTTCAGTTGGTCACGAGATCAAATCACGTGAAGCCCGAAGGGCTTCTCAGTAGATTCGATCACGTACCAACTAAAATATCATTTCGTGAAATATGGAGTGAAAAATTCTCAAAAGAGAGGATAAGGCCATCTTAAAAATAATGTTTGCTTGCCCTCTCCTACTCCAGGGTAAAATTATTGAGTCGGTAGGTGGGTGGAAAAATCTTTTTCTTTTTCCAGAAAATTTCAACATATTTGTTGACGAGATGTGGAAAAAAATATATAAAAAAATATGTCATGTCCTGATACGTAAAAAAAAGTTTTGAGTCGGGCTATTTTAGCTGGTCGGGAGAGGGCAACCAAACAATTTCGTAAAGAATTAGATGGCCTAAACAAATACAAACAATTTTCCTGGTCATCGCGAGCATATTAGTACTCTTTGGAAAGTTTAAGTTGCATTTAATAAATATATATTATTATAACAGTAACTGATCCCGAAGGGTCGCATCCAGTTTGCAGGCGCGGATCATCAGATCTAACGAGACGCGAAGCGTCGAGTTCTATCTTATGATCCGCGCCTGTCAACGAGACGTGATACGGCTCTTCGGATCAAGTCACTGTTATAATGATAAATTTATTATATACCCCCTTATAACTAGCTAAATATAGCAGAATAAAACTTAAGAGATCAATTGCATAATAACAAAGGACTTTTTAACGCGCAAGAAAAATAACGTCATGTTTTTGCGTACTACGTCATCAGTTTCAGAGAGTGGTGATATGGATTCCGAAAACCACAGTGTGGTGATCCGGAAAATTGGATAAAACTCTGTAAAATTAACAGTAACAAAAACAAGAAAAATGATGGGTATATAATAATTTCGTTTTTCTTTATCATTATTTCAGTTTACTTAAACTTTTTTTATCACTGCTAAAACCATCACATATGAGGTGATAATGGTTATGAGTTTATAAATAATTGCACATCAATATGACAAACCCTCTTTGTTTGTATACTTATAAAGGAATAATCGGTCCAGAGTACAGTGGAGAAGCTGTAGACACTTCGTCATATATCAGTTCACTGGAAAAGAATTACAAAGTCCCACAATCACTCTTCTCAGCAACTGCATCATCTCTAAAAGACGGCAATAAATATCAAAATATACTTAGATTGGTCCCTGATGATTCCAAACAAATATTGGTAAAACTGATTATTTTTTCAATTTAAAATTAAAATGAAGTCGTAATTTTTTTTATTTCAACAAAATATGGTCAATGAATTATAAAAATAGAGAAAAATTGAATGGATGAAGCAGAAACATAAGACGTGTCTGAATGACTATCAAACATGGAAGCCAAGAAAGAAAACAGATACATGTAATTGCTAAGAATTTATTTCATATAGTAATAAATATTTTTCTACCAATTGGTTAAGAGCATTTTAACACAATGCAAAACATATTTCAGAGAACAGGTGATTTTTTTAGGAAAGAACTTGACATTTTCTTTAACAAAAGTGTATTAAAGGATATATTGAAGTATGAATTAGAAACCACAAATTCTTAAAGCTGACATGAACTCTTAAAAAGGCATCAATTTTCATCTTTGTACGACTTATTACATTCCTGTACGCCCTTGTCCGCCATATTTCTTTGATTCCGCCATATTTAATCCAAAAATTTTGGCCACCTGTACCTGTTATATAAAGCCTCGCACATTTGTTTCACTTGATTGATTTTCTAGCTTTGCTGTCGACATGTACACATCTCCGATAGCATATAGTAGTCACAAATCCATAAATTGACCAATTACAAATTTTTAAAGTAAAAATCCAACAAAAACGTGAACTATGCAGAGAAGTAAATTATTTTTGAATGCATGTGCATTTTCAAAATAGAAAAAAACAACAACACGGAATACATTCATGCATACCTGTATGCAAAAACCGTTTGGATATCTATGCCTGTAGGTCGAGAATACGCATCGAACGCAGTGATAAAACATTTACCTGAATACTGCTATCGTTACAGGGATGTGCACATGTGGAAAGAAATATCCTATTTTACTTTTATTAAAATATGCATCTCAGAAGTCATGTAATCCATTGCTAACTCTACAGTAAAAGAAAAGTGACCACATAGCACTTGGACACACGTGGTCCACGACGATCAGTTTATTTGGAGAGGGGAAATTTCAAAGGTGGAAAGTCACTAGCTGGTATTTTGGTTGATTGAAAAAAAAATGCAAATTTTTTTTTTCGCAAAAATAGATATATTTACTATTGTCTGTAAATATAAATATGAACAAAATTTATAAACATGGCTTAACCACATCAAATCTATTTTATTGCATGCATCATTACGAATCTTTCATCTGTTGACGAGATTTTTCATTTGAAGGGATGGTTGGGGGTGAAAATGCACAATAGTCTCCTAAATTAAATAAATTAAACAAACATCTGAAAAAGATCAGATAATCATTACGATCAATTATTTTCAAATACATACTGTGTAGTGGCTTTATTTTTAAAAATATAGACCTAATATAACTTGATCTAAAGTTATTTATAATTTTTTTTACACTATAAACGAGTTTAATTCTTTGGTACATGAATGATCAAAATAGAATTAATTAGTAGATCCAGATGGGGCGAATTCTGAGGGGGTGGGGGTGGAACCCCCCTTTATTTTCGTACACACACAGAGAAATTTTTTCTGTAATTTAGATATTTATGCGTCGAATAATTTAATTGATAAAAAAAACTCTGCCCTTTCTGCTCGGTAGATCTGTAAATGTATGCAGATTTGCTTTCCTCCGTGTACCTTCACAACCCCGCCAAGGACTCTGAATACCCATAATATGCAAGGAATATTCCAGCGATCTTTAGCTATACCATTTTAGGGCCATCTCCAGAAGTAATGAACTTGTAGAAGTATGCATAACATATTCTAAATCGAAAAAGGTTTAAAATGCTCCCATAGTATGCAGATGGAGGCCTGGGGGCTCACTTTTTCGGAGGATAATCTAGCTTTTGCTGCAGTTTTAAATAATATTTTGATTTGAAAGCCCTCACCACATTTTTTGTTACCGGAAAATATGCAGTATTGTACCAAACAGAAAGGTTACAGGAAGCTCCCCCCTCGATCTATCACTTCCAAAAAGTATTTTTAAGGGTGGTTAATAGGTTTTGTTGTTGTTGTTATTTTATTATTTTTTTTAATTTTTATTTTTTTTTTTTGGTTATGGTTTTGATTTTATTTATTTTTGGCTTTTTAACTGCTTTTGGGGGCCCCCTTCTCATAATGTAGCTAAGGACTTGAAGTGGCCGTGGTTTGATTCTTTGCTAATGAGTGTGGGGGCACCGACCTGGAACCCCCACCCCCACCCCCGCTTTTCTAAACTGGCTGGATCCGCCTCTTTAATTGAATGTGAATTATATTTCCTGACATAAAATTTTAATGATTAAAAATAGCCGATTATAATGCCACATTCTTACTAAAATTAACTTTTAAACTTATTCCTCTTGTCTAAATATTTTTTGTCCAGATTCCTTGCCTGAGAATTGAAGGTAATTGAGAAAGTTCACAATGTTCCCATTCCTATGATGTAGATTTCACTTTTTTCCTCTTTCAATTTCTGCGATTGGTTTAATTTTCTTGTCAAAAGTAAATTATTATTTCAATTTTTGAACAAGTTTCGACAATCGACATCCCTGCCTGAAAAAAAATCCTTCATCTGTCTCTAGGGTTAATAAATGGAAGAGCACAAAGTGCGTAGAATTTTATACCTAATTTTGCGCTAACGAATGGTTACAAGAGAGAGAGAGAGAGAAAGAGAGAGAGAGAGAGAGATTTTAATGATTCGATGAAAAAAAAGACTAAAAATAAAAATTATCCATATTGAACCAGGTTTCAAGTATCCCTACCCCAGTTTTTAAAATTAATCTCCAAAATATTCCTACAGGAATTATTTTTATTTTTGAAAAAGCTAGACTGTCAGACAGGGATAATGAAATCTCGAAATGAAAGATTTCCTGTACTACATAATTATAAAACAGCCACATACCTCAAAATGTACATACTTTCTGGTCGGAGTGAGACAATAAAAAATCTCAAAAATGGATTTAGCAAAAATGTCTGTCTTCCACGAATATTTAGGTAACGGTCATGTCAATTATCCCCCCCCCCCCCCCCCCCCCCCCAAAAAAAAAACAAAACAAAATGCCTAAATGTCATTATAAACAGGGGATGATCTTTCTTTCTGTGTGTTAAAGAACCTACAGATGTACAAATAAAATTTTGTGTTCGGGTTAAATGCTTTTATTTCTTGAATTAAATAATTACCGTATATCAAACTACTCGGTCTAGATTTGAGATTACACATGTACTAAAATAATCATTTACAACTGATAAAATAATTTTGCGATGCAAAACAACTGCAGACCATATAAAATTTTTATCAAAACTATTGAGAGACAATTTTCAGTAACACATTATGAAGCAATTATAAATAAATTTTAGTTACAACCCCCCCCCCCTTTCAGCCGCGCAAATACCAAATAACTTCTCTTTCCACTTGTGATATTTTCCCTGACCAAAATCTGATCAGCACGGACTAAGTGTTTGGATGTGCTAGTCTGTACGGAGTAATGACAGTGTGTCTACTAACTGAGCTTTTTATGGAGTTTATTTCTTTTTTTGTGATGCATATTTCAATAAATGGAATTCAGGGTGTATATCACTTGACTTGTGCACATCTTCGAACCGATGCAGTAACCTTATTACCAGGTATGGGTACGTTTACAGCGTTCGACGCGTTTTCTCGACATGCATCTAAGTCTGCATAAATCCTGCAAATCAAAGACGGTGGTTGTTTTGTTCCATTTAAATGATAATAATTTCAAAAAAGTGTTTGCAGATTATACTGCTTTTTATTTCAAGTTTATTCTGCATAAATTGGCGCACTGTAAAAATACGTCGTATTCATGCATCTAGATTTCTCTTCCAAACTTGCATTTTTTTCTTTTGATTCAAATCAATAATCATTCAGAAATATGCTTATTATGTTGTTTATTTTGGTTTTGAAATGTCTTCATCACCTCATGTGTTCTATTATGCTTTACCATCGGAGATGTGCACAAGTCGACACCCAAGCCAAAAAATCATTCAAGTGTAACGAGCGCATTGGGGTATATATCGTTAATCGAGACAATGTATCTGAAAGAAATATGGCGGAAAACGGCTATAGTTGGTATGAAACAAGTCGTACATAGATGAAAATGTTGCGTATTTAAGAATTCATGTCAGCTTTAAGTTTTGATAAAGATTTCTATTCGTTATAATATCAATATTAATTTGAATGATTCTGAATAAAACTATATAAATCTTATAACATTAAATGCTATTTTTGCTAAATCATAAAAACAAATAAATAATATTACAAGAAATCAAACTTTTTTAACGAATTTAAATGAGAATCAAATAACTGAAAAGATTTTTATATTTGTAATTATAACGAAATTAATCTCTTTTAAAGGAATTCGACAAATATAGTCATTTTCAAATTTATATATTTTTCTCTAGGTCCTATTGTTCAATTGAACTAAATGATTTTAAATTCGGTATAACAAAACATTGATTTAAAAAAAACAATTTTAATTTGTTAAAATGTGATGAAGAACAATCATCCAGATTCTATGCAGAGAGATCATACAAATCTATCTTTCTCATATGACCTTTAAAATACTAATTGTGACCTTGTAAACTTAAATTGTGCATTCTCCTGTATTTTGTTGAAAAGTCGCAGAAGTCACCAATTTTCAGTGGAATTTTCTTTCAGATACATATAACAGGCATCTCCCAGAAAGATTATGAGAAATATGATTTTTCAAAGAGTTTTACTCAACATGTCTGAAAATTAAAGAGGGTGAGGGCTGTGGACAGTATTTTCTTAAAGAAAATAACCTTTGAAATTGGACATTTTGAGGCTTTTTCTATTTAAAAAAGAGAACTGCATGAAAATTATGACGTCATATTTTCGGAATCGTACTTCTCCATGCCATATTCTTTCCTGATTTATCATAGTCATATACTGAAGATTTCTTAATTTTTGCCAAAACTTATAATCGCGAAAGGGTTTTCCTACGTCAAACTGCAATTATAATAACTAGAAAGTCTGCTATTGCAAGCAACAGCTTACTAGTATGTCGCCCCGAACTGAACAAATCTTTCATTTTTTCTCATCAATAAAACAGTACCCATTAGCTAAGCTTGGAAAAACCATCAACTCCTATCAGTACTCTCAGTACTTTGATTTAAAAATTAAAAATAAAGAATTTTCACTTTCCCCCTGTTTCCACGGAGACTATTGACAATTTGCAATTTTTAAATGCAACACGCACAATGACAGATACTAATCAATAAATAAGTAAAGTTTCATTACGAATGTTCAAGGGACCAGAGAGAACACTCGCGCACAAAATTCGTCGCTTTTTGCAGGTTACCGTGGCAACGGTAGCCATTTTGAAACTGAATGACCACCTGGCACAACTTAAACCAGTGATCCTCCTTTAAGGAAAATTTCAGGAAGATTGTCCTAGCCATCTCCGAGAAATCGCCTGGACAACAAAAACATGCTTACAATCGCAATATGTCGTCCACGACTTCGTTTGGGACGACATAATAATTCGCGAATGGACGGTTGATCAAGAGATTTTATATAGATTTCATCATCCTAAAAATAAAAGCGATAAAATTTATTTCGCGAGTGGTGCTTCTCGCGAAATAACACGACAATTATTTCACTGGTATATTTTATGAATCTACAGTACTCAACTAATATTTAAGGCCAGTTTTAAAAATTTTGAAAACACATTTTTCGGTCACAATAAAGCTAAAACTGTACATTTTAAAAATATTTTGATAGGTTCTAAGTGTGTTTCCTTAAATATGCGTATTATTTACAAAATGTATGTTTTAATTTTTTACTTTTTCATGGGGATATCTAAATTTCGTCATCTGATTGATCATTAGGATAAGCACCTAATTTTTTCTGTGTATTTTTTAAAAATTTTGTGTTATTGTTTTTGATTTCATCGTCCAGATCTGTATAAACTATAATTTTTTATTGTATCGAAATTCTAGGTCATCATATCTCTGTTGCAAAAACTGGAATGGAACTACATTGGTGTCTTTTACGAAAACAATACCTATGGAGTAGGCAACTATGATGAATTTAGGATGCAGACTCAATCAAGAAAGATATGCATTGCATACGCTTCAGCAGTATCTATGGAAAATGGTCTTGTAAATTCCCAAGAACTTCAAAAAAGTGTCGAGTCCGTGATTTTTCATACTGAGAGTAGAGTAACAGGAGTAGTAGTATTTGCGTCCACCAAAACAGCCAAAGTGTTTCTCAATGTTGCCAACAAACTCAAAGATCAGTACAATTTTCGACTTGGAATGATCTTTTCTGAGGGGGCCTCTAATATAGATAAAGTGACTTTAAACCAGTATCATGTAGCAAAGGGTTCTTTTTTCACTAGTCCTCCGCGGTTGTTCTTTGAGAGTTTTCAGTTACACTGGACAAATGTTATGACAAACAAAACAGTTTTTAATCAGGAAGTATCATCTAATCCGTGGTTAGGGAAGGTTGTCGATAAGTTCATATCCTGTGATATTCAGAATCCTACCTGCTTGATGCCAACGTTTGCTGACGTAGATTCTGTCACTGGTGATAATGTGTTTGAGGGTTATGCAATTTTGTCCACTATCATGCAAGCCAAACTTCTCAAAGACCTCCAAAGAGAGGAATGTGGAGAAACAGAGGGTTTGTGCAGCAATCTTAATAGTACTTTGTGGTTCAATACTTACAAACTTGTAGAAAGAGGCAAAAATACAAATATAAGTCTCAAGGAAGAAATGCCTGATGGTTTACGACAAAACCTAGGAATAACTTTCAATGGAAGAACTGAAGCTAACATATCAGGAAATTTGGATGAATATGAAGTTTACCATTTCCGAAATTGCATTCTGAAAGGTCAAGAAATGTGTTTAGAAAAGGTAACTAGAACGAATGTATCTATAATAAAAAGCACCTCTCTTTCATAAAAAGGGCTTTTGCACGTGTATTGATGAACAAGCATAGATTCTAAATATTTGTTTGTTTGTATGTTGCTTTATGTCCCTATTGAGAATTTTTCTCTCTTATGGAGACGCCACCACTTGCCGGTGGAGAGATGCAAATTTTGTCCTTTACTTGGCACTTACGACCGTTGAGCAGTGAGGGATCTTTTTGTGCCAGCATATACTGCGACACGGAACTTCGGTTTATACTTTCTCATCCGAAAGACCAGTATCCACGCGCACATTATGGTTAAAAATGTCAAGTGCCTGTGATTCTCACGTCTCACAGAGAGATTCGAATCCGCGACTTAAGGATCAACTCCTTACTGCGCGACTTTATAGCAGACGCTCTAATCACTGCACAGCGCCACTCGGCCGACTGATACTACCTTCGTAATGGTAAACAGGTTCGAAATATAATTTTTGGTATAGCGACGTCTTTACATGAAAATGATTGAAGCCAAAATGAACATATAAATATTCTAAATATTTAATGCCTTTATTCAGACAGGAAGATAAAACAATTCACTTTTTGTTTATAGGTTGGATGGTACAACAATTTAACGTTAGATTTAAAAACAGACCTATTGAGAGATTACACAAAGGACGAGAATGGCTTAATTTGGCCGGATATTATAAAGGCTCAGTGTGATAATCAGAAGAAATGTGAATCTTGCCGAAATAGTAACTTGGCAAATGACGTTATTTTTCGAAAAGGGGATTTGTATGTTGCTGCAGTGGTTCCTGTATATAACAAAGACATATACAACCTTATGGAGTGTGGTGATATTCGTACATCGAATGGGTGGGAGGTTGTGGAAGGCATTCGGTTTGCAGTAGATACGGTGAATGAAAAGCTTGGCAGTTTTGCTAATATTTTTGGAGGAAAGAAAATCGGTTACGTAATTTTTAACAGCTGTAATCAGCCATTGCTGATTCAATCAAAACTCCTCAACTTCTTCAGGGAAGGTCTACATTTATCAGATGGTTCTGTAATTTCTAATATTTCAAATAATACCCTGGGATTTGTTGCTGCATATGGCAGCAGCAGCAGTATAGCGGCAGCTAATGTACTTCAAGAATTTAATTTACCTCAGATCAGTTACGCCTCTACTGCTGCTGTTCTAAGTGACAAATCCACCTATAAATATTTCATGCGAACGTGTACTCCGGACGACAAACAAGCTATGGCGATGGTTAACATAGTGAAATCACTCAATTCTTCGTACATACAGATTATCTACAGTGAAGGAACCTATGGTGAAGGAGGAAGGAATGCTATTGTACGCGCAGCTAAAGACATGAAAATATGCATTGCGCATGAAATCAAAGTGAAAGAAAATCAATACAAAAAGATTCGTTACGATCTTGAAAACACTCCGTATGCTACAGTTGTCCTCCTGTTTTTAAGAAGTCATGTTGTACAGGAAGTTATGGCCGAGCTACACGAAACAATAAATCCTTGGCCATATCTTTTTATAGGTTCTGAGGCGTTTGGAACTCGACAAAGCATAATAGCTGGTAAGCATAAACTAGAAGGAACCATTTCATTGTCACTCCAAATGACACCTGTGACTGGGACATCTATGTTTGAGAAATATCTTCACGATAGACTTGCTGATAACGATGATATTAATCCTTGGACAAAAGAGTACTTTGAACAAAGAAATGGTTGTTTCCTGTCTGGCAGCTTTAATAAACTCTCTGCTTCCCAGTGTATGGATATTGAGGAAGAATTTAACAACAAAGACTATCAACCAGAACTATGGACCGCCTTTGCTATAAATGCCATGTTTTCTCTTCTGCAAGGAACAAACAAATCTTTTGCTGATCTCTGTGGCAGCCAGTCCTCTACTTTATGTCAAAGGTATCGAGATTCTCCACAACAGGTCTACGACATAATAAAGAATGAAAAACTGGTGATTGATGATAGTGGGATTCCATCCAAAGTTTTTAATGAGAATGGTGATGGTAATATAGGATATAAAATATATCAAGTCCAGAGGAAGGCCTCAGATGCCAGTCAACTGATATTTGTTGAAGTACGTTTTCTATTTCAAGCAGCTATTATAATATGTTATACTTTCATGTACATTACTTGAATCTGATTCGTCGAGAAACATTTGTTTAAAAACACTATTACCCTCTGAATAAATGAAGCCACGCCCTCCAGCGTAGCAACAGTCAATAGTGCTTGACGACGGGTGATCTTCCAAAAAATAGCGACTGCGCAGAATTTATGCGCGCACGGTTCACTGTTACATTTATTTGTATAAAACATTCAGTATAATATGATAAATATTGCATGTAGTTGAGTGTAACATTGAAAATTTTCACCCCAAGAAAACCATTGCCAACCGAGGCGCAGCCGAGGTTGGCAATGGTTTTCTTGGGGTGAAAATTTTCAATGTTACACTCAGCTACATGCAATATTTATATACTGCTTCACATTTGGATGTTTTACCGATTATAGATGATAAATGCTAATTAACAACTAAATTGTATGACAAAAGAGATTACCAGCTTTTCCAACGCCTACCTTCCATATTAATGTACTGGTAGTAATGTCCCGCGATCAAATGCATATGGGATTATGACCTCAAACTTATTTGATTCTCAAGATAATGCTCTTGTTTTAAACAACAACAACCTCGTTTAAAGTTAACATTTCGAACATTCTACGGTCATTAAAACGATCTTATGAGAAAATTTAACCTAAATTTGTGTCGTATTTTGGCTGACTTTTCAGTCTTTGTTTATGTTCTGTTTACAGATTAGTATTCTTTGAAGGTTTTATGAGATCGAGCACTGTTTTTTATTAGCTCACCTGAGCCGAAGGCTTAAGTGAGCTTTTCTGATCACATTTTGTCCGGCGTCCGTCTGTCTGTCCGTCTGTCTGTAAACTTTTCACATTTTCGACTTCTTCTCAAGAACCGCTGGGACAATTTCAACTAAACTTGCCACAAAGTATCCTTTGGTGAAGGGAATTCAGGTTTGTTCAAATGAAGGGCCAAGCCCTCATGCAAGGGGAGTTAATTGGGAATAAATGAAAATTTGGTGGCATATTTTAAAAATCTTCTTCTCAAGAACCACTGGGCCAAGAAAGATGAAACTCATGTGGAATCATCCTCAGGTAGTGTAGATTCAAGTTTGTTCAAGTCATGACCCCCGGGGGTAGGGTGGGGCCAAAATGGCCGATCAAAGTTTTACATAGGAATATATAGGAAAAATCTTTAAAAATCTTCTTCTCAGGAACCACTGGGACAGGAAAGATGAAACTCATGTGGAATCATCCTCAGGAAGTGTAGATTTAAGTTTGTTCAAGTCATGACCCCCGGGGGTAGGGCGGGGCCAAAATGGCTGATCAAAGTTTTACATAGGAATATATAGGAAAATATTTAAAAATCTTCTTCTCAAGAACCACTGGGACAGGAAAGATGAAACTCATGTGGAATCATCCTCAGGTAGTGTTGACTTAAGTTTGTTCAAGTCATGACCCCCGGGGGTAGGGCGGGGCCAAAATGGCCGATCAAAGTTTTACATAGGAATATATAGGAAAAATATTTAAAAATCTTCTTCTCAAGAACCACTGGGACAGGAAAGATGAAACTCATGTGGAATCATCCTCAGGTAGTGTAGATTCAAATTTGTTCAAGTCATGGCCCCCGGGGGTAGGGCGGGGCCAAAATGGCCGATCAAAGTTTTACATAGAAATATATAGGAAAAATTTTTAAAAATCTTCTTCTCAAGAACCACTGGGCCAGAAAAGATGAAACTCATGTGGAATCATCCTCAGGTAATGTAGATTTAAGTTTGTTCAAGTCATGACCCCCGGGGGTAGGGCGGGGCCAAAATGGCCGATCAAAGTTTTACATAGGAACATATAGGAAAAATCTTTAAAAAATCTTCTTCTCAAGAACCATTGAAACAGGAAAGATGAAACTCATGTGAAATTATCCTCAGGTAGTGTAGATTCAAGTTTGTTCAAGTCATGACCACGGGGTAAGGGTGTGGCCAAAATGGCCGACCAAAGTTTTACATAGAAATATATAGGGAAACCTTTTTAAATCTTCTTTTCAAGTACTTCAAAGCCAGGATTAGTTATATTTGTATGGAATCATCCTCAGGTAATGTAGATTCTTGTTCGTTCAAATTATGATCCCTTTGGGGTTAAAATTCAAGCCCCCCCCCAAACTTAAGTTAAATTTCAGGTCTGATCTGATATGTGTTTTTTCCTAGCTGATGTGCTCAGGTGAGCGCTGTGGCCCCTGGGCCTCTTGTCTTTACCCCTTTTCATTCTACTAAATAAGATATGACGATATACCTTAGATGAGGATGGATATTCAGTATATGAAAGGATAATAAAAGATCCATTCAGGAAGTTGCCATCAAAATGCCCGAATCCCTCAGAGTGTCAAAAATGCATGAGACAAATCAACAACCAATCTTTCAGTCCTTCTTCAAAGAGGTATCCTATATCAACTTCAAATCGACATTATGTTATCATGATGGAAAAAAGAGTGTTTATCATTGTATTTCAAGCTCATTTACGCATCCTTTCTAATGTAAAATATTTATTCCATACTTTGACATTTAAGATATGTATAATTTTCTTTCAGCGAAGATAATTCCATTTTGCCAGTGGTTTTTGGTGTCCTCTTTGGGTTAGCTGTGCTAGCATTGGTAATAGTTAGCGGAATATTATGTAAAGCCCGTCGTGATTGCGGAAAATCTTCAGGTAAGGTCTTTAAAATTCAGAGGTAGGGAATCAAAAACGTTTTACTGGTGGAAAATTGGAGAACTATACTTAAACGCATCAAAACATGCATAATAGTACACGTACATAAACATAGAATTTTATAGCTTTTTTTTAAACTTTCTTCTTCTTGTCCTTATACCGTTATTTCTTTTAAGCGATCGGAAAAATCTTATTGCATTAATATTTGTTTGATATCAATAAATTGAGATTTATTTACATATTCATATCAGAAGATGACCCATACCTCGATCCAAGATTTTCGACTTCTCCTGGGACAGACTCGAAAGATTCCGGATACTCTGCGAGTCCAAACATAGTGGGAAATCCTCAAAGTGCTGAAAATATATCAGATCTTCAGACACAAAGACAACAGTACATGAAAAATGCCACTTACCAAGGCGATTAATAGTTTGTACTTTGGTTCAACATGCTAGACTCAATTTCAGATAACTTTGGAAACAGGCAGCATAAAAAAGAATTTCTTTTTTTAGGAGAACATCAGAAAAAATATGACTTGCATTTATCTTAACCAGATATAAAGGCGCGGGAGGAGATTTGGGCAGTGTATAATTTCAGCATAATATTCGACACATTGGTTATTACGTTCAATAAGAATGTTATTTGGATTTTCAATCACAAGTACTACATGTATTAACTTAGAAATTTTCGCCCGGAGGATACTCTAAGTGAATAACATTCAATTTTCCTTTAAAACTGTACACGATTTGTAAAAGGATCGAAAGTTATCTTTGTGCTCCACATTTGTCTTGTCTAGATTGTCCCCCTCAGTCCCTATATGAGTCTGAACTTTTTTCATTGTTCAATGTTTATTTGCAACACGGACTTTCTCTGAACTGATGTTTCCTTTATTTTCATATACTACCAGTACTACTGCTACTTGTGCGAAACCAAATGACTTATTCATCATGTAGTGACTCACTATAATTTATCGTGCTATTATCGTTATAATTATAATATTCATAGTATCTTCTTTGCATTTCTTAAAAATAATTTTTTTCAATATATATGTACGCATTTAAATATGCACAATGATCATTTACTTAATATGTTAAATCCATAAGATTAATATTTTTATCACTTTTTAGCTCACCTGAGCCAAAGGCTCAAGTGAGCTTTTCTGATCACATTTTGTCCGGCGTCCGTCTGTCCGTCCGTCTGTCCGTCCGTCTGTCTGTCTGTAAACTTTTCACATTTTCGACTTCTTCTCAAGAACCGCTGGGCCAATTTCAACCAAACTTGCCACAAAGCATCCTTGGGTGAAGGGGATTCAAGTTTGTTCAAATGAAGGGCCACGCCCTCATTCAAGGGGAGATAATTTGCAATTAATGAAAATTTGGTGGCATGTTTTAAAAATCTTCTTCTCAAGAACCACTGTGCCAGGAAAGATGAAACTTATGGGGAGTCATCCTCAAGTAGTGTAGATTCAAGTTTGTTCAAATCATGACCCCCGGGGGTAGGGCGGGGCCAAAATGGCCGACCAAAGTTTTACATAGAAATATATACGAAAATTCTTTAAAAATCTTCTTCTCAAGAATGACCAAGCCATAATTCATCATATTTATATGGAAGCATCCTCAGGTAGTGTAGATTCAAGTTTGTTCAAATCATGACCCCCGTGGGTAGGGCGGGGCCAAAATGGCCGACCAAAGTTTTACATAGAAATATATAGGAAAATTCTTTAAAAATCTTCTTCTCAAGAATGACCAAGCCATAATTCATCATATTTAAATGGAAGCATCCTCAGGTAGTGTAGATTCAAGTTTGTTCAAATCATGACCCCCGGGGGTAGGGCGGGGCCAAGATGGCCGACCAAAGTTTTACATAGAAATATATAAGAAAATTCTTTAAAAATCTTCTTCTCAAGAATGACCAAGCCATAATTCATCATATTTATATGGAAGCATCCTCAGGTAGTGTAGATTCAAGTTTGTTCAAATCATGACCCCCGGGGTAGGGCGGGGCCAAGGTGGCCGACCAAAGTTTTACGTAGAAATATATAGGAAAATTCTTTAAAAATCTTCTTCTCTAAGATAGAAAATCCATGATTGTTCATGGGACTACTTTTGGATTTTACCTTTTCAATAATAAACCAATTTATACTTTGCCTAGCCACAGTGCTCAGGTGAGCGAGGTGGCCCATGGGCCTCTTGTTTTATTCGTAGTAATGATTTTGATGTTTCTATTCTTGTTGCTTACATTTTTGTACACATATTCTTTTTTCTTAACATGTCAAATTTCCTTTATAATAAATTTGCTTCAAGATAAACAGTATAAATACATGTAACTGCTCCGTTGTTTTGCTGTTCTTGATATGAAAGCCTTCACGAGATGCCTGACATTCACTCATAAACAAGGGTGAAGGAACTTGAAATTGTATAATTTGTCTTATCATTTTTACCATTATAACGTTTAATCATGACGTTTTTTTACGCAGAGTTCCATGTCGGAGGTTAAAGAAAAGAGGCATATTCTACTATATACCGTTACATTTACATTTGCAAATACTTTTTTAGATAAATGTATTGAAGAGAAAATATGTTCAATACTGTATGAACTTATTTGGTGGTCAGAGGTCATAGCGCGACCGAATCAAACGGCGAGATATTTTGCCACATCTTTTTGCAACTGGTTTCGGGATACTTTTAAGATATTAGCGATGAAATAGATAAAATGATTGAAACGCAAGGATATTTTTTAATCAACAGATGTACAATAGATCTTCTTTCGATGTGAAATAATGTTTTGAATACTATAACTAGCTTAGTAAACGCACTTACCTTTTTAACCAGAAATTCCTTTGGAGTTATGTAAAGTAAAACAGGCGATACATGTACCACCGCTTTTGACTTCAAATATAATAATTTAAGGAGTCATGAGATGGTAAGATTATTCTCAGCAGCGATCCTTGTTCTCTCATTATAAACAGAGACTTCCCGGTCTGGACTGCTGATTATCAATGTAAACATTCAAATGTTAGAGCGAGGCGAACTTTCAAGACCAAACAAATCCTAGGTCAACATAGCAATACAGAGGCCTGTTCGTGTAATAAATTTATTCGTTTCAAATGTAAATAATAAACAACAATGTTAAAAAGTTCACTGGGAAATGAACGTAGTTCGTACAGGGTCAAACCTACTTCGCAGGATTTGATCACGTGACCACGTGAATGGACTTCCTATTTTAGCGCCTTTGGCATGGTCATTGATACGCTTTAATTTACATACTATATACAGTGAGTACGTGCGTGAAACGCTAATTCATGAATACACCAACTCAATATCCCGTGAGTGTGCTAAATTTCGAAAACGCAAAATATGTACACGTACAGTATTTAGTCTATTTACCCACACTGCGGATTTACAAATTTACTGTCGCACATCAAATATATCGTTTATAAGGGGACTGTAAATCACATATTTAGTGGGGTAAATTAGTCTTGCTTTGAAGGAAAAAAAATTGGAATGTCAGATTTCTATTTCTTGAATGACGAACTATTAAGGAGGTTTGGAATTTTTACATTTCAATTTGATAACATTTTTGCAGAGTTAACAGCCTTTGGTGAAAAGAAGAAGTTTTTTATTTCAAAATATTTGTATCAAATGACTTATTTTATTTCATATGTTGATAAAGAAAGAGTTTTTGCATATTTTCATCAAGAGATTATTATGAAATTGAAATCATATTTTACAATTTCACAGTAACACATGCCCTGCCATAACACTTCAATATAAACTTCGAAGTGATATAATTAGACAATAACCAGGTTTAATTTTGTTAATGCCTTTGGAAGAATATATTTATACCCCCCGCTTGAAAAGTGGGAGGGTATATAGAAATCGTTAATTCCGTCCGTCCGTCTGTTACGCTTTGGGGTACCCATCTCTTATCCGCAACTCCTCTCATACCACTGAATGAAATTTGATGCAACTTTCACAGAATCTTTATTATATATTGCCATTGTGCACCTCCTATTTTACTTTTTGATCCGACACATATTTTGGGTTTCCCGGCCACAGGAAAACATGGACTTTTTCACCAGTTATAACCATATGGGAGGCGGGGGGTTTCATTTAGTGAGCTCATCGCTCACAGTACCTCTAGTTATACTAATAGTACCTTCAAAATTCTACAATGATTAAAAATATTAGACCATTCGTTTGTTTTTTAAAAGATTAGTGGCTATACTTTCGATACTTAAAGGCATATTTATATGGTTTATTGTGTCAACCATTTACCACACTGTAAAATATTTGAATGAAAAGCATTTTTGAATAATTGGTTATCATATGTGGAATAATAAATTTACAAAAAAGCATTAACTAACCAACAAGAAAAACCAAATTTTTTTTATTATTTCAACAAAGATTATATCATTTAAAGTAACAAAATATGGTATGCATTTTGAGAAAATGTATTTTATGCTTTCAAACATACAGTGCAAATAATTTAAAGACATGCCTTTCTCTCCCTCTTTCTCTCTCTCTTAAATATACACATACAAATTTGCCTATGGAAAGGTGCTGATATGGCAACATGTCTTGAAAATTTTGGAATGACGGAATGAAAATATCACAATATGCTTTGATCCTTCGACACACTTTTTGCGATAAACTCTAAATGCCATATATTATTGTTGTAAACCATGGGAAAGGTTTTATTTTTATGCTAAATTATACTATATAAACAAAAGACTAATGAGTTGTTTTTTCCTGAATCATTTATCCTCAATCAACCATCACGTAAAAATATTTTCGTTGCTAAATGCTTCCAAATAATTACTCCTACAAATTCTTCAAAGTCATTATTTTTCTTTCTCCAGCGTTGCGTATTTTGATGATGTGCTTTACAACGTCATAAGAATTTCTAGTACCATTATCAAACCGCCGAGTCAGATATTAGATTCTGGTACTCCGGGGAATTCTCATTGTTCACATCAAACATTTCCCTGTTATTATTCCTGGCACTTTTCGGTCTTTCCGGAGCACCCACTACCAGACTAACATACGTTCTGTTCCCGACTGACAGATGCCTGGTCCTCTCTGGGACCTCGGGATCGCTATCATATAAATCGTGATCGGAAATCAACGCTGTCCGCTCAACAATATCTTGTCCTGAACCTGTCAACTTGATATCACTAAAACGTTTGTCCTCAGAAATAATTCCATTTGGAATGTATCGTAGTTTTGAAGAGAATGATCGGATTTCTTTCGGTGAGCTGAAGTTGTCATGGTGGTTGGTTTTAGGGGACTCGTCGTGATTGGAGTGGCTTTCGCTTTCTCTGAAAAGGTCCACAAGTGGTTGGCTATCCCCTGTTTTGTCACCATTGTTCTCAGATTTACAGAACTGTAGATACGCCTGTCGGGTAGCCCTAGCCCAAGTTGTGTTCATTTTCAAAGTCTGACTACATCTCTGCAATCTCTGTCGTCTTATGTGAACATCTTCGCCGACCAACCAGTAGGTGAACATCTGCCCTTTTCCCTAGAAAATAATGTTACTTTTTCTTTGTATTCAGTCATTCCTTGCAATTCAATATTGATAATCCATTCTTTGTTTGACAGTTAAACATACCTTCATTTCAACCAAACCACGTGGTTCCAAAGTATACCCGCCTAATTTATCTAGGAAAGTTTTGCAGGATTCACTGCAGTGGATTTTAAGGGCTGTATAGAGAAAAAAAATAAATTTGTGATTTATCATTAACTAACTTCAGAATGAAGCCTTAAATTCAAACTGAAGACTTACGTTCTCCATTAGATTCCATCCTAGATGCTGTGTTGACAGTATCGCCAAACAATGTATATCTTGGCATCGTGAGGCCAACCACTCCCGCTACACAAGGCCCTGTCATAATATCTCAAACTTAATGCATAGTAAAAGGTAAAGGGAAAGCGCATATTCTAACAGTTACTAAACGGCCACATCAAGAGTAATTTTTTTTTACATACGTCTCACACTAATTCTGGGGTCAAAATGGCATAATGCAACATATCTAAAGCTGAACCAAAGAATGGCTTAAAAAGTTACGGAATTTTATTTCAATTACCTGAGTGCATTCCAATTCTCAACTTTAAAGTTTCGTTTGGAAGGAATGTAATTCGGAAAGTTTTTATGGCACGGAGAAGATCTAACGACATTGATGCGATTTCGCCCGCATGTGTGTCGCCATTCCTGATGGGAAGCCCGCTCACTACCATATACGCGTCGCCGATCGTTTCCACTTTATATACATCGTAGTTCTTGATGATGGAATCAAACTTGGTATAAAGAGAGTTCAACATTTGCACCACCTGAAAGAGTCAATAAAAATATTAATCTATTTCATCTCTGAATTCAAACTCCTTTTATAATAATATATTATTATACCCGCACTTTCTAAAGAAAGTTCGGGTATATTGTTGTTACTCATGTCCGTCCGTCCGTCCGTCTGTCACACTTTTCTTCCCTGAACTCCTCTTACATTTTGCTCAGCAGCCTAATCATCTTTTGGGAGATGGTTGGTGGTGTCATGTAGATGTGAAGTAAGGTTTCGGAATTTTGATTTTGCCCCGGGGGGTCAAATGGGGGTCGAAAAATGATGTTTTTTATGCTAACAGACCCGTCTTCCCTGAACTCCTTCTACATTTTACTCAGCAGCCTAATCATCTTTTGGGAGATGGTTGGTGGTGTCATGTAGATGTGCAGTAAGGTTTCGGAATTTTGATTTTGCCTCGGGGGGTCAAATGGGGGTCGAAAAATGATGTTTTTATGCTAAAAGCCCCGTCTTCCCTGAACTCCTTCTACATTTTACTCAGCAGCCTAATCATCATTTGGGAGATGGTTGGTGGTGTCATGTAGATGTGCAGTAAGGTTTTGGAATTTTGATTTTGCCTCGGGGGATCAAATGGGGGTCGAAAAATGATGCTTTTTATGCTAAAAGCCCCGTCTTCCCTGAACTCCTTCTACATTTTACTCAGCAGCTAAATCATCTTTTGGGAGATGGTTGGTGGTGTCATGTAGATGTGCAGTAAGGTTTTGGAATTTTGATTTTGCCCCAGGGGGTCAAATGGGGGTCGAAAAATGATGTTTTTTTTATGCTAAAAGCCCCGTCTTCCCTGAACTGCTATATTTTACTCAGCAGCCTAATCATCTTTTGGGAGATGGTTGGTGGTGTCATGTAGATGTGCAGTAAGGTTTCAGAATTTTGATTTTGCCCTGGGGGGGTCAAATCAGTAGCCTGATCATCTTTTAGGAGAGTTAAATATTTTGAAAATTAGGTAAAACATCAACATCATAGTGTAAAAAATCATAGCATGCTGGGAAACATCTTGAATTCTTACGAGTATTGTACATGTCAAATGTAAAAGTCATATCTCTTCTCAATCGAAAGTTATAAGCAAATGCAACATTTTGAAAAGTAGGTTAAGCTTCAAGGTCAAGGTCACAGATTCATGATTTATTTCGAAAGGTCTTATCATAGGTAATAATATACATGCATGTATAATATGAATTCTTTCAAAATGATGAATTTAAAACAATGTAATTTTTTTGCAAGTAGGTCAAACTTCAAGGTCATGGGTAAAACAAATCATGGCATTGTCACAGGTAAATACTAATTATACATATGTTTAATACAAATGCCTTGTCTCTTCTCATTCAATAGATATGACTGTGATGACCAAGGTTAAATTGACAGACTGACATACAGATGTACATATACTGATTTCAATGTGAATCGGTTAAAATTGGCCCAGTGGTTGTAGACAAGTTAAAAATGTAAAGTTTCCATACAAATAAATGGACGACAGACGTAATGTGATAAAAAAAAGTCTGAAAAGCTCAAATGAGCTAAAAACATAGGATTCACATGTATTTTGTAAAGGTTATCATGGTTACAGTACTTGAAAAGCTTTTTTTTCATGCATTTTTTTGAGAAACTGAAAATGTATGACATATGTATCCATTGTTGAAAAAACTGCATGAACATTTCAGAAAACAGTATCATTGAAAATAGTTAATCAAGGTGTTTTGAGTGGCAAAATAAAGCTAGTAAAGTTTTATAGCTAATTCAACCACAGAACTTAGTCAATTTTAAGACGCACAACCTTTTCAAATCTTATAATACATGTATTTATTTTTAAAATATTCATGTAATCATTTCTGATTCAAGGGAGAACAAGAGATACAACCAACATGTTCATGTTTTATGTTATTTTTAGTAATTTGTTTGTTTTTTGTGAAAGCATCTCTCTCAGGAATTTTTCCCTCATATGGAGACACCGCAACTTAAAAGTAATGAATCGAAGACAAGGTGTGTTTGTTACAGTTTAAACACTGATGCCCACGTAGGCCAGCTTATGGCGAAGGTTGAAGTTTCTCAAATGTATGTCAAACTCAAAGGTCAAGGTCAAAGGGTTAAAATTGTTGGTATCGAAAGAAGGTCTTGTCACAAGGAATACACATGTGAAATATAAAGAAATCCCTAGTACTTCCTGTTCAGAAGTTAATTGCCAAGGTTAATTTCTTTTTTTTTAAGTGGGTCTAACTCTAGGGCCAAGGTCGAACATATTTATACCTGTTGAAAGTTTACAATGAATACACATGTTAAGCATGCAAACCCTAGCACCTACTGATCAAAAATTTAAGCCAAATTTCTGATCAAATTTCTGCAGACAAACAGTCAGTCATTTATAAACACAAGAAACAAAATATGTAGATATATAGTCAAATGGAAAAAAAAATTCTATTTTGGAGTCACAAGATCAATTGCAATTTCATGAACAGGGAGTGGCTAGGGAGATGGGACCCCCCCCCCCCCCCCGGAGTTTGCTTTCTTATTTAAATAAGACTATATACTGAAGCAAATAAAAAATTACTTTGGACATCATCCCCCTTAGAAAACATTGACCCCACGAACCCACTATCATTGTTTTTATTTTGTTTTCAGTTTTTTGTCTTTGCTTGTGAGAAAATTCTGGGCTGACATTTTTTTGACTGAGGCGTGAACCCCCTCCCTCCTCCTGAAAAAAATCTGGATCTGCACCTGTAACTGATTGTCACATCGACAACGGGAGATAATTTCACAATGTGAAAATCCGACTATACTGTGGCATGCGATGATCTTTGAACTTTAACCTAATCTAAATTTTGCATTTCGGTTCATTTTACCCCAATCTATACTTAAACTTGTACTTACCGACTGTCATAGGTCCTGTGAACTTCATGAAATATAATCCAATTATAACACAAAATGATTTTTTCAATACACATCACACTGCAGCATGTGCATGCTATCCTGTTTGACAAACCTTGGCTAATGCAGATGAAGCACGAATCGGCCGAGGTGTGCCGAGTGGTGCATAATCTAAAAATATGATAATGGGTGACGCAACCCAATGTAATGTAGAAATTTTCCAAAAGGTGTTTACATGTAAACATGTATAGCGTAAATCTGGAAATTTTTACGTTGATTTTATTTTGCGAATCTGGGTCAGAATGCTGTTGATTATATTTTTTACGTTTCAAAATTTTGCGAATGACCACTACTTTGTTTACATTTTCTTATTGTTGAATTATTTTTAAGACAAATATTTTTGCGAATGCAATGAATTTGCAAATTTGCTAAAAATTATCTACAGCAAAAATTAAAACAAACTATGTTTTAACATAACTTTTCCATCTTCATGTGTATCCTATTAAAAAAAAGTACGGTTCGTGAGGGTGTGTGTTTGTGGTGTTTTTTTTTTTTTTTGGAGGGGGGGGGGGGGGGGCATTATTAAATTTAACAAGAGGCCCACGGGCCTTATAGGTCACCTGAGGATCATGTAACAACAATTGAAATTATTTCGTGTTTTAAACCAGAGGCCATGAAATTCATCATTTTGAAAGAGGCACTATTGCTTATCATAATTATACACTTACCATGCTTACTCTAGTTACTTAATACCCAGTCGTAGATCAGAGTAACAAAGAGAAAATGCACTTCCACTTATAACCAGTTATGCACCTCACCCCTAAGGAACCACTAACCCTGGGGCCATTTATTTCAAAATTTTGGAAATTTTATCATAAATATTACTTTATCATAGATGATTCATTGATACCAAAGAGCAGATCTCAAATTAAAGCATTAATTTATTTTCCCCCCCCCCCCCCATACCCCTGACCCAGGGGGCATGAAATTAACCCTTTTGCTAGATACACCTTTTTTCATCCAAAAAATATATATATACTTATAGATCATTGGCATAATTTAATACCCTGGAGCAAAGGAAAAGATTTTCAAAGAATTAATGCATTTTCACTACATAATCAAAAGCCCCCCCCCCCCCCCCCCCCCCCCCTAAAGCAAATGACAAAACCCCTGACACAGGGGACATAAAAATTCACAAATTTGGTTGAGGCACCATTCTTGCTCATCATAACTACTGTAGATCACTTAATTTTCGCGACACCTTATTTTCGCGAGATAGTCATTTACTCTTTATTAGCGAGACAAAATTTTCACGAATTGTGGTCATTGCTCTATATAATCTTAAGGAATTCTATTATACGCGAGAATGAAATTTTCGCGAGCATACCGCCTCGCGTAATTACGCGAAAATAAAGTTCTCGTGAATAAAAAGTGATTTACAGTATGTACTTTATGTTGTTTATTTAATACCCTGAAGCAGAGAATAAGATTTTTAAAGAATAAATGCGTTTTCACAATATAACCAATAGAGCCCCGCCCTAGCACCAGAACCCCTGACCCTGGGGCCATGAAATTCACAATTTTGAAAGAGGCACTCTTACTCATCATAACAATGTACTTAGTTAGTTTATTTAATACCCAGGAGCAGAGAAGAAGATTTTCAAAGAATTAATGCATTTTCACTATATAATCAATACAGCCCCACCCTAACATCAGAACCCCTGACCCTGGGGCCATGAAATTCACAATTTTGAAAGAGGCACTCTTGCTCATCATAACAATGTACTTAGTTAGTTTATTCAATACCCAGGAGCAGAGAAGAAGATTTTCAAAGAATTAATGCATTTTCACTATATAATCAATAGAGCCCAGCCCTAACACCAGAACCCCTGACACTGGGGCCATAAAATTCACAAATCTGAAAGAGGCACTCTTGGTCATCATAATAATGTACTTAGTTAGTTTATTCAACACCCAGGAGCAGAGAAGAAGATTTTCAAAGAATTAATGCATTTTCACTATATAATCAATAGAGCCCCGCCCTAACACCAGAACCCCTGACCCTGGGGCCATAAAATTCATAAATCTGAAAGAGGCACTCTTGCTCATCATAACAATGTACTTAGATTGTTAATTTGATACCCAGGAGCAGAGAAGAAGATTTTCAAAGAATTAATGCATTTTCACTATATAATCAATAGAGCCCCGCCCTAGCACTAGAACCCCTGACCCTGGGGCCATGAATTTCACAATTTTGGTAGAGGACTCAATGCTGATTACAATCATACCAACAGTTTGTCTGCTTGATGTCCAGGAGTAAAGAAGAAGATTTTTAAAGATTGCACTAATTTTAGTGGTTTTGGCCCCACCCCCAAGGCCCCAGGGGGACAGGGACCATGAAATTCAAAATTTTTGTTCCCCTTTACCCATAGATGCTGTATGCCAAAATTGGTTGAAATTGGGTGTGTGTGTGTGTTCAGAGAAGAAGCTGTGTGTGTGTGTGTGTGTGTGTGACGAAAACGGATAGCAATAGGTCACCTGAGTTTACTCAGGTGACCTAAAAAGGTACCAATTATGAGCAAAACATTTTTTAAAATCTAAGTTACACATAGGCGTCTGAACCGGGGGGTTTAACCCCCCCCCCCCCCCCTTTTTTTTTTTTTTTTGCAAAGATGGACATATAATATATGCATTGAAAATTGGGGTTTACCTTTTTTGTTGGTTTAGCCCCCTCCCCATTTTCAATTTCCTTCCGACGCATATGAAGCATACAAAATACATATAAGAGGCACTGAGTCATATGTCACATAGTCACAGGGTCTAAGAATGTTATACTCAATGTGACGAATACATGTACTGTGTAAATTATAGAATTATTTTGACTTTTCCTGGGAAGGCTTTAAGCTTAATATGTACGAGTGTGTATTTAGAGGCAAACACCTTAGTGCGGGTATTACTGTCTCATGACAGCATCTAGTTAATGTACTGTAGTAAGTACGTTTTACAGATAATTAAAAAGTGAGTCGTTTTTATAGAAAAAAAACACTATATGGTGTTTTCTTAAAAATAAGGGTGAATGCTAGCATCATAAAATATCACCTCCATTGGTGTGATTTCTGCTGAGAGTTTCGTGAATCCACAAATATCGCTGAAGTATATTGTGACAGATTCATACACTTCCGGTTTGACACAATGTCCAACTTTCAGTTGGTCAGCAATTGGTCTGAAATATATATCAAAATGAACTTTAATAAGAAATAAAATTTTGTTTTATATGGATAAAGTTTTATAGAAAATTACACCTATAAACATGTGAATCATGTGCAAACCTTGGAAGCATGCGGTGTAGGAGGGTTTCGGTGATCCTCTTTTCGTCCGCCAGTTGTATAGTCCTACTCTCCACCAGTTCCTCTAGGTGATTCTGGTACGATTCCATCATTGTCATGATCTGGTCAAAGATGTTTCTCTTCCTTTTGAAAGTAAATTCACAAACAAATTAAAAACTAAATATACTTCAACCAGTCACAAAATTCACGCCGTTAAACTATACGAACTAATGTAGAATTTTCATATCAGCATTTGTTCTAATAAAGTGCTACATGTAAGTGAAAGTTTTTTTTCAAAAATAATTGATATTTCCAGATCAAGAAAATAATTACTATGTTCAAAATGAATTGTGGATATTTATAAGTCGTCCAACGACAGAAATTGATAAGGATACTTAAACTTACATTCCCTCTCGCATTTTGTGTAAGGTTTTATAAATGCAGCGGAAGTCGGGTCTGTCTTCCGGCGCTTCACTCCAACAATCCACCATACAATCGATCACATACTTCTCACATTTTAAAGTACTAGTATCTGGTCTAAATGGGATCATCCCACCGTCCATCACTCGATACACAATATCTTTAGACGACAAATATAAACCAACATAAACCAAAGTAAATTAAAACTTAAAATATACCTATACTTTTATGAACGAGAAATATATTTCATTAGAAAACATTTTAACATAAATAACTCACCTTTAGGCACCATGTTACAAAATCCAAAAGGCCCCCCTCTTCCAAATATCTCATGAAGGATGATTCCAAAGGCGTAAACGTCACCCTTAGGCGACCCCCTCGTCTGCGGACTCCGTAGTTCCTCGGGAGCACGCCAAAATAAATCTAATAGGATATTATAAACAGCGTAAGGTTACAAAAGTGTACAAAAGACATTTATATTCCACGGCTAAGGCATTAAGGAATAGTATATGACTAAATTTTAGAAAATCATTTCTGTCTCCTATCTCCTCCCCTGTTCGGTTCCGTACCTTCTATCAGGAGAAGGAAGAAATCTCTGCTCAAAAACGGTAACAATTCTAAGTGATAATGTTTACCAAATAATTTTCCTTGAAAACTTTTTGATCTAACACAAAATTCACAATCCTTATCTGACAACAATGACTTTCTCAAAATAAGAAAAATCTATGTCCATTATCTTCACAAATTCACTAGTCTCTGGCCAACTACAAATGTACTTGTGTATATTGCATGGCTTCATATTCTTACAACATATATAATCAAGACATGCATCTACATTTCATTTTGTCGCCGTATCTTCTTCAAATGAACTCATTTCAAAGTCAAAACGAACTTTTGAAACGAAAGCTTCTTTTTGTGTTGCACTGAACTGAAAAAGGTGCGTTAATATATTTACTCTTAACACCTTGCAAGTTAAAGGGGGGCCGACTATAGTTTTATTTTGTAAGAACTACAATAGCGAAACTCTTCATTTTTATACCGTATATAACTTACATTAACTTCAGTGTACATGCAAAGTTTGGGGAAAATCTACCATCCAGGGTATTTTTGAGGGACCGTCTCAAAATACAGGTACATTTACTATAGGATTATATAGGAAAATGCCAATTTTTAGCACTTTAAAGCAAATTATACAAATACTACAATAGACATTTTGTTCAAACTATTATATTTGATGAGTGATACTATATTATACAATATTACCAGAGGGGGCATCTCAAAATGCAAAAAATTAGCAAATTTAACTATTTTTATAGACTATTACAAAATATGACATACACAATGGATTCACATGAAAACATAATAAAAATATTGAAGATATTCTCAAATTTCTATGTTTTAAATTTCAAGAGCGTATGTTTATCACTTTTTCTTTAACAATATTTTATTACCCCTTTCTTTAAGAGCTACAGATTATCATAACGTCAAAAACATACTGCAACGACGTCAACCTACATGTACCTATCAATTGCAAAATCGGTTAAAAAATCAGTTATATCAAATTGTAATTACATTTTTATATCTATAATTTCTTAATTTTGTTTAATTTTAATAATTAAGCGAAAAAGGTTGCATTAAAACAGTAAATACGCTTCATATTTTACTATGATGCGCGAAATATAGCGCAATGGAAACTATAGTCGGCCCCCTTAAAATTTATTAAAATAAAATACTATTGAACAGAATCAAAAATCATACACCTATATTTACCAAGAGGCCTGTGGGCCTCTCCTGAGCATTGTGGCTAGGAAAAAGGCAGAAATTGGTTCAGTATTGAAAAGTTCAAATCTATGTGGTCCCTACCTAGTAGACCCTTGCGCTTTCAGATCAGGTGAGCTAAAAACCATCGTAAGAAATTATATTAATATATTTCAAAATATATTGTTCTTACTTCTGTAGTAGGCGTGTTCATCCTCTTTTCGATATGTTTTAGCTCGGATGTCAAGAAGTCCAAAATCTGAAACTTGCAATGTCCAGCGGCTATTTACAACACAATTTGAAGACTTTAAATTGCCGTGACACCCTAACTCACTGTTGTGCAGAAAAAGAAGGCCCTGAAATGTTAACAAAATGTCATGAAATACAAATAAAAGAACTTTCATTTTTAAACTAATCTTGTCTTCTTAAATTATTAGTCTAAATTTCTTTTAGAATAAAAAGTAAATATTTCGTTGTTAAAATTCTGTTTTCATATTTAAAAAGTACTCGTAATTTATGTCAATTTCATATGAATATACATGTGATAATCTGTTAAATGAAATAACATAGCATGCAATTAAGTTTAAAAGCTGAAATTGCAATGAATAAATTCAAATATTCCTGGCCCAAGATTCATAATATTCCTGAATGATGCATTGTCTTCCTTTATAACCTTTTGATGGATATGGTATTAAAGGTATAAAAATACTTTTATACATACCACGTTGATCAATTTAAAAGCAGTTTTTAAAATATATGTATTTTTTTGTGAAAACTAAAATTTCACTTTCATAAATATGTTTTTAAATACGAAAACAAAATCTAATAAGGAAATATTTACTTTTTATTCTTAAAGAAATTTGACTATTCATTCAAGAAGACAAGATTAATTTAATGATGACAAAGCAGGTATCAAAATTGTCTTTGTTGGTAAGGCTCATCATATAAATTGTATTTTATAAGAATTGGTTTTAACTCTACAAGCGGTAATCTAACTTATACTCATAGTTCCCTTATGTTACATATGTCAGTTTTGAATATTTTTAATATCCCAAAGATTCAAAATGATTTTAAACTACCATAATTATATATGCACTGGATTCCGAAACTTCATAAGAATCCTTACAAACAAAGATATTTAGCTGTTTCCAGGAAATGTTCAACCAAGCCTCTTTCTTGACTCATCACTAAAATATTAACAGTAGTGAAGGAGAAACTTCAAGAGTACTGTGCAACAATATATTCAAGAAATGGTGTGAATCAGATGTGGATACTAAAACATTCTAAAGAACTTTAGGACAATTTGAAATCACAAGATTTCATCAAAATTAACTGCTTAAAAACTTACGACTTTTCAACTTAACACACAACCACTCCCCACGATAAATTAAAGTCCAGGCTTTTCGACGTAATTGACAGCTGCTTTTTCAATAAAAATGGAACTCGAAAATTTACTTACCTTGTCATCGGTCATTTGCAAAATTATTTTGTTAAAAAGCATTCTAATTGTACACACAATTAATCTGAAGTTGACATCAAAAAGATGATGAGTTTCTGATTGACAATATCTATGTTGTTTTTGGAGACCAAATCTTCCAACAATCTATTGGAATTCCCATAGGTACCAATTGCGCCCGTTATGAGCAGACCTATTTTTTTTTATTAATATGAGGCAGAATTTGTGCAAAATTTTATGCGTGAAAAGAAAAAAAAAACACTTGCTGTGACCTTCAACTCGACATTTAGATATATCGACAACGTATTCTCAATTAACAATGGTAATTTCCACTCTTATGTAGATACGATATATCCTGGTGAGCTTGAGATAAAAGATATCACAGAGTCTGACGCATCTGTTTCATATTTAGATATTGTACATGTACTTGAAAAAGACGTTGATGGTGATCTAACAAACAAGCTCTATGATAAACGTGATGACTTTAACTTTTATATCGTCAACTTCCCTTACTTATACAGCAATATACCTTCATCACCTGCATAGAGAGTTTACATATCCCAGTTGATCAGATACGCAAGAGCATGTTCTACTATGGATAATCTAAAACAAGGTAAATTATTGACAAACAAGTTGATGAAACAAGAATTTCAGCAGTCTCGTTTAAAGTCATCATTTCGTTAGTTCTAAGGTCGATACAATGCCTTAGTCAGCAAATATAATTTATCATCGAGTCAAATGCAGACTGATGTTTTTCATACTAATTGTTAGTCTATTATTTATACACTGAATTGACGACGGATTTTTCTGTTATTTCTCGATCATGACAAGGAACACACAGCGGATGTGACCGGTCGCCAGGGGATGCTCACTCCTCCATAGCACCTGATCCCACCTCTGATGTGTAAGAGGTCTGTGTTTGCTCTGCTCCTATTTTGTATTGTTTTATAGACTTTTGATCTGGAATACTGTTTGTTATCTCCATATGTTTCAATTTCACAGATTTTCTGCATAGAAATATTGTGTGATTTAAATTTTATTTTGTCCTACTACCTGAATCATGTCTTTGATTAGAGAGGCAATAAACATCTCATCTAACTTTACATCTTCATTTTCCAAGATGTCCTAAGAAATGAAATATAAAGGTAAGCAGTAAATGTCAGTTTCAAAATATGCAAATGTAACAATGAAAATTGGTGTATTATACAACCAAAATAATACTTATAACAATACGTATTGATAACACATGCTTTAATGAAGGGTTTAAACAAAGCTTTATTCATATACGATTGCATACTTGCAGACTTCCTTTGGAACAATATTCAGTAAGAATGATAAATCTTGGATGATCAATACAGGCACCAATAAAGGCATTGACATTGCTGTGCCGCAAATCTCGCATCTGAAAAAAGTATATGCATTTAATGCAAAATCTGTAAGAATGGATTCAAAAAATAATGACAAGTTACATGTATGTTGTTTCTTTTATTTTTGGAAGAGACAAAAAAGTTCATCTCTTATATAAACTAATTCGAAGCTTCCATATAGAAAGGGAATTTTTGAAAAAATATTCCATTAAAATTTGTGTGATTTTTGTCTATTCTTCGACTTATAAAACATGGAGATAGCTTTACCACTTTCATTTCTTTTTGCATTTTCCTGTTGATGACCAGTGATTTGATTTCGTATTTCTTTATGGCCACAAGCTGCCCTTTGTAGTAGCTGGTGGCTGTGTATACTTGTTGGTTAGATGCTCGCGAGTCCATGGATTGCTGACTGTTTAGAGACAACTGTAAGAGGAAACATTATTTTTAGGATCATTAATAATCATTTTTTTTTTTAGAAATGTACATTTCAATAGACTATAATTTAGGGGGTAATATATCCTAAACTAAATCAAACTTCTGAAATTTAACAAAGACACAGGACAAATTTCAACTTTAAAAAATTGCAGCTCTCGGTTTATTTTCAACTTATAAAAGAGAAAAGACAAAGTGGTGAAGTTGTACTTAGCATAGTCTTGGGGACATGGTTTGAACAGAATTGAAATATGCAGATAAAAGCTCTGCTGTCAATTTTAGTTTTTCTAGACCTTTCATCACTGAGAAACAGATTTTCAAAAAATAAAAAAAATCAAATTTTGTTAAATGCAACATCAAAAACGACAGTTACACAGCCACTGGGTACTGGGTACCCCTTTACAGAATTCTCAAATCAATCATTCCTAATAGATGAACTAAAACCTCGATCCAAAATATATACATATTCAAGGGATAGCAGCAAGTCTGGCAAGCTTTGTACCTTGCTGCCATACGCTTCTTTCTTCTCCTGTTCCATATTAAACTCTGAGTTCCTGTGACCGGACAAAGACGCATGGATATCTGCCTTGTCCACCTTCCACAGCAAACCTGCTATTTCCTGTTCGTATTTCCAATTTCTGCAGAAAATAAGTCATATTACTACCTGTTGTATATAATCCTTCTTGAAGTTCTTGGAAAGTATACTATATAAATAAAAGAAATCTCCGAGTTTTATTTTTGGGCCTTTGTATATAAAACAAAACGGTATGTTTTTCATTTTTTTACAGTCAAACCTTTCTCCTTTACATGCAAGATTGATCAATGGTTTTACTATAAAACTTCATTTGATCTGAAGTATTACAACAGACATTTCTAAATGGCTCGAAGACTTGCTGGAATAATAAATACTGCTATATTGACCAGCCGAGCAATTTATTCAGGAAGGTCTTTACGTATATCATAGTTCACGTGTCTTGTAGCCTTCCAGACTAATCACTTTAAAGCTGAGTTTTTTATTACTCTTGTTGAGTTGGGAACGGGATGATATCTGAAAGCTTTTTTGTCATTACATTAGGGTTGATCAAAAGAATTTTAATTACAATGAGAATTTCACCATATCGCTTTCTAATTTTATTGTTTTTAATGTTTCCTAGCACATTGGTATAACATTTGTGTTAATTGGTTTGGTATAAAATGTTTCAGACATATTTTCTCGGAACTGGAAATGCAGCAGGATTATTTTTTCTTCTTTTCAATTCTGTGCACTTTTTTCCATCAGTGAGAAACTTTCCGACAAGACGTTTCATCTGATCAAAAAGCCCTTACAAAGCTGATTTCTACAACAAGATTTTTTCTGTCTGGATATTCAAGTAGAATTGAATAAGGACTTAGGACATAACCGTCATTACAATAGACAATCTTGCTATTTGTCTAGTTTCCTATGTCTAAGACAAGCTTACGACTCACAACTTCAACTGTTATAATGAAATGACTAAATCTTCATCATCTGATTATTATTTAGCAACCAGACTACGAATTACAGCATGCACATATGAGTTAAATTTTGTTCAGTCGTGGATTGATGTATCGGAAGAGATTTGAAAAAAATCGAACATTTCAATTCCGATGCCTAAAATAAAAATTAGACTATGAAGCTGTAAATGCTGATCGATGTGTTAGCATTTTTTATTGTTTTAAAGATTATTATAAAAATTACCTATAAACTATTAGGATAACTACTAATGAAAACAATAGGAGAGCCCCCATGGTCCCCAAAACGATCTCCAAGGTGTATTCTGAAAGAAAGGAATTTCAAGACTACAATAAATGACTGTAATATCCATGTTATGCATATATGACATGTTTGTTTTATAATTTTATCTCCAAAATGATACCAATTATCCCATTTTTTCTCCATTGCTGCATAGTTCTTTCAAGCAACATTTTTGTTTTGTTGTTTTCACTCATGTAATTACAACAAATTAACCATTCTCAATTTCTCGACTTTGACAAATAAAAGCAGAATATGATTGACAACTAGGCCTACTTTCACATATTATACTTTCCATTTGTTCTCATTTAAAAGTTTTAATACTGTGAAACTTAAATGTTGCACCGTATTTATTCACCTGGCGAGGTTTATTTTTCACTTACGTTTTGGCGGTATACATCGTTGTCTTCTGTATCCACACGGGGGTTCGTCCACGGGGGGACGGCCCGACACCCAATCAATCAGGTCGTTACTGTACAGCCTCAGAACCTTCAAATAAAGGAGAGAAATCTAGCTATATGCCACGTGTCATGTTAATTAATTTGACTCACTGGGTCACCTAGTTGCGTTCAGCGTTCACACATCGTTCGCTCACCGTTCGCTCTGCGTTCGTTCACCGTTCGTTCACCGTTCAGGTGGGAAAGTAGAACGTTTCAGGGACTGTACCAGTTTTGACCATGGTGATGCTAATTAATGACGTCATACAACTTCTGTAGTGTTGCACATATCATTATGTTGTTGACCAATGAATATTATCGTTACAACCACGAGTAATGAAATGGTGTTCGAGGTGGAATACTGGAATCCTTAACTATAATGTACTCAAACTTGAAAAACAAATTAGCTTTAATTATCTTATGTGGTACTGATTATAGGTTTTCTCTTACTTAATGCCACGATCACAGAAAAAGGAGAAAAAAGACATATTGCAATGCCCTTAACTTTTGAATGCCCTTTTGGGATTCGTAATGAATTGAAAATACTAATTACTTCACAGTACGTTAGATAATATATTTAAGGTCAAGGCCATATCATTAGCGGCTTTCTTTGAGAAGTAGTACTAAAGTATGAGCGTGGCATGAAGGAGACTTTTCTTTTTTTATCTTTTGGAGGGGTATCCTGATAGACTGAACACATGGTTTAAAAGACGCTTACAATAGTAACGTGCTTGTGTGTGTTTTAGTTTGTCCTAGGGCTTTCGCAAGTGAAATTATTTGCATCAGGATTGACGTCAAATGCTGTTTTGATTTATTGGTATGTTATCTGCGGGAGGATGCTCCGCTTTGCAATGCCAGTAAAAAGTGCAAGTTCATGGGATTAAAGAGAAATTATAATTTTGTTTTCGAAAAAAGAAAAAATTAAAATCATTATTGTCATTTCCAATGATTTCAATATATGTCCTTATATACAAGTATTTGAAATATAAAAGTTCGCATTTTTCTGGGACAACCCTCGTATTATCGGTGTATGTGATGCTAAAATAAAAACATTTAAATGACAGTCAGTAAATGATTTGACTTTAGTAGATATATACATGTTAAATGAGAAAGTATTCGCTTTCTGATCGATTATACTTAACAGAAACACATATAATCTTTTAGATGAACTTTCGACAGATTTTCTTTCAGGAGCCGAACAGTGAAAACGGTTTTGTCTGGCTAACTAGCCAATCATTGGGAAAATTGTTTTTATTCCTTTATCTATAAAACGTTAACTAATCACTTTATTTTTTTTCGTTACATCTATTTTTATTAACTTGTGATAACGAATTAAGTTATGGTAAACAAGCAAGGAAAGCATGTTTATCTGTTTTCTTCTTCTTATATGTTTTTGTGAGTCGATTTCTATGGCCTAATGTTCCCGTCTAACCGGAAATCACTGAAATCGTCTAATCACCCGACCATTTACAATGATGTTCTTAAGTAGTGGATTATTTCAAACCCTTCATTAATGTACGGTGAATGAAACAAAATCGATGACAACCGTCAACAAGAATTTCATTTATTCAAAGCTCATTTCTTCTCCATCAAATTACACCGAGTCCTAAACAGGCCTACTTACTCCGTCATTCTTGTCATTTTGTGGTCCTATGGATTTCCATCCAAAGAAAATGAAACGTCGACAAATATCAAGAACATGTACTTATCAATTACCGGTAAGGACCCATCACTAGATTGAAAGTGACCAACAGGCTGCATGGAGTACTTGGATTTAGGGTCATTTATCTCCATTCTCGCCAGTAAGGTGTAGTTTCCCTCAGCGTCGCCATTTTGGTCAATGAAGGTGGTGGTTCCTTGTATACCTGATTAATGAACCATAAAACATTGGAATATGTCGAAATTCAAAACTTTACTATAAAAATATAATCACTCATGCATAAAATTCCGAAGTTTTGTTAGCTAAGGATCAATGTGAGTCGTCGACAGGAGTCTTTTCTAATGTTCTATATCAATGAACTATTGTTCAGAGGTCATTGTAAAATCGTGAATTTTTCCAGTTAGAAGTTTTCATTAATTCTTACTTTCATAACTTTGGTTTAACAAAGAATGAATAATAGCCGCCCCATCTGCGATCGATCCTCCCGACTCCACAAGTTTGTGAGCAGCTTTGGCGTACAACATGACGGCATCGTATAAATATGCCGCGTAGACAGTTATCTATATAATTCAAAACGTATATATGATGACAGTAAAAAAATAAAATAAAACAGATTATCACAGAACATTTTGTATAATCAATACACTCTGCCGTATACAAGGATTTGTGTTAAATATGCGCCGTTTATTTCTTTGCCTGAACATCAAACGCATGAGAATACAACCAGGGAATATGCCCTTACATTTTACATGTAAATAGAAACAAATCAATCCACGAAGTTGAATGTTTTAATTAATATTGACAAAATTAAAATACATTTTTCCCATTTAAGTAAATAAATAAATTTTTATTACTGATTAAAATGAGAATATCAATTGTGCAATTAGCATTTTTAAAAAAATGATTTATGTGTACAAAATTTTACCAAAAATATATCATGGAAATCTCCAAGAAATCCTGTGGGTTTTAATTACAGACTGAAAAGTAGCAATTATGCTAATCTACCTTTTTCTCATAAGCAGGAAATGGGTTGAAGAAATTAAATGGCGGTTCCTCGTTGAATTCTCTGACTTTGTCCTGGAATTGTGTATAGTTCTGACTGGAGTAGGGACTAAGTGTGATAATTAACAACGACCGAGCAGCATCTACGTTCCTCTTCTCCTCGGGGTTGTCAATCGTTCCTAGAGGTTTAAATCAAGTACTTTGGTTTGAATCTTATATGAATAAATTATAATCCTTAGAATAAACATTATTATCTTGATTATGAATCTTGTCAAATGTTCCAAGATTGATTGATTGATTGTATGTTGATTAATGTCCCTCTTGAGAATTTTTCACTCATGTATATGGAGAGGCCACCACTTGCCGGTGGAGGGCTACAAATTTTGTCCTATACTCAGCAATTAGGGCCTTTGAGCAGTGAGGAATCTTTTTCGCGCCAACATCTACTGCGAAACGGGACATCGGTTTATATGGTCTCATCCGAAGGACCAGTCTCCACGTCCCACAGTGGGATTCGAACCCGCGTCGTAAGGATCAACTCCTTACTTCGATAACTCGTACTCAATGCATTTACTATGAACAATCAAGAGAGTTCCGAACGCAAAAATGGCGTGTAAATTTGAAGCGGGAAAAAACGTTGAGAAAATTACTTGAATTTTCGTCTTTATTTGGATTATATATTAGGTTTAACTACTTATGCAACCACAAAAAGGTTTGTTATAATTGATTTAAGTTATTTTCAGTGCGAATTCCTTTGTATTCTTCAAAATCGTTTCGGAGCGATTCTGCAATTTTTTGCTACATTGCGGAGTATATGGGAGGTATTTCATTATATAACTGTAATAAATATCATTTTTGGTGAGGGCTTGTCCTGTGGAGAAAATTAGTTGAATTTTCGTCTTTATTTGGATTATATTTTTGGTTTAACTACTTACGCAACCACAAAAAGGTTTGTTATAATTAATTTAAGTTATTTTCAGTGCGAATTCCTTTGTATTCTTCAAAATCGTTTCGGAGCGATTCTGCAATTTTTTGCTACATTGCGAGTATATGGGAAGTATTCTAACTGTGGTGAGGGCTTGTCCAGAGGCACAGTTAGATTATTCTAACTAACTAAGTAACAATTATTAGTTTAATATGCCCATAAAACGAGGGTTTTTTTTCAGAATATAGTCTGCTGCTTTAGTTGTTCGCTTCGCCACTTTTGGTTGCTGCAATAGCAAATTCTAGCATTTGAAAAAAAAATGTATAAAAAGATTATAAGAGAAAGGCTCAACTCCCCCACTAACATATTTGGCAAGCTTCATGGCCAAACAAGCCATTTTGTGATATCTAAATGCTCTCTTAGTTGGATTTATATATTTGAACTTTTCGTTATCTTTTGTAGCTCAAGGGTTTTGATAATCTACCCATTTTTTCAACAACAATAAACATACAAAAACATTACTTTTACATCATTAATTAACACACCTTCATTAATAATGGGGCTTAGGTATAACTATAATGCTGTATCTTAAGATACAATATTTTTTTCTTACAAATACAACGGAAATATGCATTCGTGTCTAATGTGATTAACGCGGGACAACATTTTCAGTGCTGATATTTTGTGTCATTCGTTCAGTCAATTTTTCCCAGCTTGGCTTTGTTCCAACTATTTTTTTTTGCACATTCTTCTCTCGTTAATGATTTTAAGCGGAATAATATATATGCTGCATCAGACAAGGAGCAAGGATAGGCATGTATCCTAAAACAATTCAAAGTTGATCCTTGTAAAGAGAGAAGAAACGTTACGAGAGGCGTCACTATAAAATAACATTCTTCCGAGTGGTTTGACTATGTCGATTTTAATGTATACAAAGTTTTCAACTGACATTGCATTCTTTATTGTGGTAAACAGCTACTTCTCAAAATCAGCTGGATGACACAAAGACAAATTTCTGAGAGCCAATAAAACAGTATTTTTTTTATCAAAATTTATATGCTGAGATAAATTTCTGAGAGCCAATAAAACATTTTTTTACCTTGACCTTTCCTTTGTCCTTGGTTTTTCTTTCTTTAAGGACAGATGATACAAACAAACTTTTGTCAAAGGATTTGAAAATAACAACTTGGGTCATGTTTAAATGAGTAAAATGAATAAACTTCACCGCATAGTTTTTAATTTTCTATTCAAATCTGCACAAAAATGGAATTTGATGTGAAAAATATTTGTATAGATTAATAAGGATGGTTTCAGAAGGGCAGACTTTTGAACACCACAGAAGGTTTACAATTTCTTTATATTCTACAAATTTATTATTTGCATCAATTGCAATGAAATTGGGCAAAAAAAGTTATACCAATCCAGGCACCCATTTTTTGTTTGTATCATGTTTTTAATTTGGGTTAAACTCACATTCATAGAAACTGTTCAAGTTATTTTTATCAAAACTTATGTCCAGTAACATAATGATGAGATCATTTCATCTTAATTGTCATTTTGTACCTCCTATTTTTCTTTGACCTTGATTTCATTTTTCTTAAATGTGTTCTTGAGCTAAGTTTTTAAGAAACAACTCATGATATTTCTATCAAAGCTACACAATCTGATACCTATATTGATTAATTAAAAGATGTATACCTGCTTTCAAAGGAATCTTTTGATATTTATGTTTTCTTTGACCTTGGCCTAACTTTTATCAAATAAGTGATTATCTGGATTTCAAAGAAACCTACAAATTGTTTAAAACAATTCAACTGCACGAACATCTTTTGACCTCGATCTTTGCCCTAACCTCATTTATCTCAAAATGGTATTAATATCAGTGAAAATAAACTTTTCAAAATATCTCATTCTACGGTAATACGAAGGGTGATCAAAAAGTTCGCGAACTAATTGAATAACTTCCATAAAAGAAGCAATATTTGGTTTAAAAGTTGATTATATTATAAATTAATCCTCTCCAATTTTAATGCACATCAACCACCGTTCTGCGCATGCGCGAATCACGTGATATTGGCGGTCACGTGACCCCCCTCCGTCGCGTTCTGTCACAAAAGTTGAAAGATTTTTCTGAGTTTTATATTTCTTTTCATGTGAGTTAACTTTTATGACAAGAACAATTTATTTGTCAGAAATGGTCAAATCTCGGCAACAGAATGGGTGGATTAGAATATCCTTTCCAAAAATAAGCATGGCGACCATTGAAACACAAATCTTCTGTCTCGGGAGAGACCTTTATTCAAGGTGGATAGAGAACGGGTGCCTCCTTTTTATCATATCTAATATGTTTAAAATCTAAAGTAAACGATATCTTAGGTATATAATAATTATATTATTGTTCAAATATTCAACTATTTTTTAAAGTGTAAATTTGAGGTCTTTGATTGCAAGTTGCCTAATTAAAAACACATATCTTTTCAAACTTGCTTTCACTGGGCAAGATGACAAGTATCATTTTTAACCATCTGCCTTCCTTCACTGAAACGATCAATCCAATCATTAATTAAATTTATAGGAACTTATTTATCTTGATAAACTGTGTACAAATTAATATATGATACTGTAGAGGGATTTCTAAGATATACAATAAATTGTACAGTCGTTTGTTGAACGAGTTCGACTGAGACAAACATTTTTCGTCACAAGTGACCTACATAGTGACGTCATTTTCACACTGTGACGTCACAAACAAGGAGAAAAACTTTATTCAACATACGCTATTTACAGAACTTGTGTATGGCTATGTGTGTACCGAATTTCTTTCTAATCTGAATTGTGGTTATGTAGATATAGAGATAGTTCGCGAACTTTTTGTTCACCCCTCGTATGTTGATGCATATTGATTAGAGCTATCCAACTGCATCAAATCTTTTGATCTTGACCTTTTCTCTGACATTGACTTCAAGTAGATGTTAACCCTTTTATCAAAATTTATATGCTAATACATATAGAGGAGAGGTATTCAAATCATAATAATCACGTCAATTTCTCCTTCGACCTTGACCCCACTTCGAATTTGATTTTTGTTTTGTGCAAAAAAAATATTCCAGACATTTTTAATGCAAACATATGTACTGATACATTATTTGGTGAGAATTCCTTTTTTTTTAACTTGACCTATATTCAAAGTATTTTCACCAAACTAATACAAATTTTCATGTTGCACCACTCATGATATCTGGGCGGGGCATTTATGTCCAGTGTGCATATTTCTAAATTTGTTTGCTTACGTTTAAAGTATTTTAGAGGTTCCGTTCTATCAAAGGTCACGTGATCTACGAATATGACGATGTACTCCCCCGTGTCTAACAGGCCTCTGTCGTACAAGTTTGTCATTAGATCCACCACTCCATTCAAATCTCCCAGGAAAACATAAACTGAAAAAAATAAACAAATTGAAAAATCTTTTCTTTTTCAAAGTATCTCTCTGTTTGTTTGGTTATTAATTCCTAAATATACTATTGATATTTTGTTTGGCATTCGATAAAAGTATAGTTTGGTTTACAGAAGTAAAGAACAAGGTTCACTTTTGCCTTATTTGGCCCTGTGAATTTCTGAAAAACTGAAACTGCATAGTTTTAGTTAACAATGCATTAAATATCACTTAGATCTTTGGTGACTGCGTATCTATCAAAAATGACGTCATACTCTGGCCAGTCAATGCATTATGACGTCACGAAATGCGTCAATTTCTTCATAGTCTAAAAAAGTCTACAAAAACGGCCAATTTTTAAGCTATTTTTTGATATTTAATATATAGCTCAACCTCTGATTTAAAATATGCAACTAGTGAATGATAGAACTGTTTCTGAAGATTAATGTTTTATTTTTTAGATCAGAGAGTGCGCTCATATTATTTTTCTTCATTGAAAGTACTCAATTATACCTGTTTACCTAAACATTCAAGAACATTGCAATTTCATAGAGCCAGTTCTCCTAGACCTGGACTTTTAGAAGAAATTTTTTAGTAGGATATGAAAGCACTAAGTCTCTATTTTATTTTAATGCTTCAAATAGATAATCAATTGTTGATCAATTAATTGGTATATCTACAGGGCCATTTTATGCATAAAGTGAACCGACTTCTTTTCGTTTGTTTATGCAGCAGTCCATTTGACCATCGAAAAATTTCAGATCCTTTGATCTATTGTACATAAGATTATATCATTAATTTTCAATCTTGCAAAGTCACTAGAATTTTTGTGCCAATCTTCCTTAATTCCCTTTTCCATGAGGGTAATGAATTAGAAACCAAAACTATAAGTCTTATTGATCCTTATTGGAACTGCTAATAATGTCAAGGATGTCTGAATGATTTATGTATGAAGATTATGCCGTAAATATACCTTATACATTACGTTTTTGTACTAAAACTAATCTAGAAACAAAGCAATCACGTCCTCCGCAATTTTACCAGAATAATAAAACATAATGGCGTGACTATGTTTGGTGACATTTACAGGAAATTGATCAAAACCACCCTAGCTCACCCATGGCATCAAAAGAAAAATGAAAGTTTTCTTGGGTGAGGTACTTCCAAACTAAGTCTAGCTATCGAACGTAAAGTGCCGAATGATTTGTCATGCAATGCCATTGACGATGCGGCGATGTTTTGCTACCCTACCAATTTCCCGTTGTCTCATAAGTTATCTGTTTTGAGAAAGTGACACAAATGTGATATAGGCTATACGGTAATAGTTTCCTCTGTTTTGCAAAACAGACTTTCAATTACCGGCAAAAGTACAATGATTTTCTCTTTTTTTTAAGTAAGATTCTATCGCTAAATGAAAATGGACTCAGCTAAAGATATTGCAGTATTGTTCAGTAGTTTGGAAAATAGAGCACTGACATCCTAGAAAGACCAGTGTGATTTATAAGATTTTTCAATAATCCCGTGTCTATTAAAAATACATTGATCCTCTGTGACGACAACTTGATATATGATTCCATCACTGTCTGGCACTGTCAGTCACAGCTCTTGCTAGGTCGTAGAAAGATAACTCGTACAAAACGAAGTCATTCCCGCTTTTTAATTAAACAATGAATTAAAAGAATGAAACTACATCATGTAGTATGATGCACTCTTTATTAAAGTTATTATAAGAAAAGAAATTCCTATTTATGTACAGTGTACACAAGACAAAATTTTATGTAATTTGCAGAGGGAGCGTGTCCTTGCATGAAATGGTCATCACAATTTCTGGCTTCCTTATCATCTTGAGACAGACTTCATGCTAAAAATCTCTAATTAATTTTTATTTTTTTATTTTTTTTTTTTATTTTGTTGTTGTTGTTGTTTTTTTTTTTTTTTGGAAAGTGTTCTTTTTCCTGAGATCTGAAAAGATGATCACATTACGGTTTGTATTAGATGAAGAAAACAATGGCGTGCCAAAACTATTTAAGAATCAGAAAAGTCGACTTTTCTTGACAACTCTCGACAAAAACAAAGTATTAACATAATAAGAAGCAGAAATCGGATAGTAGAAATTGGGTCTGTATGTCGGTTATTCAATCAGATGTTCCGCGATATAGCCTCATTTCGCAGGAAATAATAGATGTCGTGTTATCGTTCACGAAAACTACTCTTAAAGGATAAGTCCTTGTTAGGAATGACATGACCATGAGACGAAGAAACCAAAACACTTTTATCTGTGAGAGATTTTTTTGCAGAGTAGGTGGCATTTATGAACGAACCACCAGACAGTTTTATAGCTTCATCCATCCGTTTTTTAAGTCCTTGATATTATTTATATGATGTGATTTCTGGCGGTTTACAATCTTATTTTTGACATTGTATATTGTATTGTACTTTAGCAGAAGGTCGCAATGAAAATTGATGACACATTCCATAAATTTCTCTTTACTGCAAATATTAGGTATCGTCATTTGCATATCTCCTTTGAGTGTTAATATTGGACATATGTTCCAGCGACAGATGTGTCTTACCTTGAACAATTCAATGAAATCTGATTATGACACCTGAAATCTCAAAATCTCATAAAAAGCCATATTTTAATTTACTTAATAGTCTAAAATATCATGTTATAATTTTGTACTAAATATGCATTTTTTAATTATTGAAAGTTGAGATTCAACCTACGGAAAATTTTGTCCCGCGGACTGGAAAAAAAATCAAAGACGGGCATCAACTAAGGTGACATGTATATTGATTTTAGTAAAGTTGACCGAATTAAGTTAGATGGCACACAGAAATAGGGAAAAAAGTTCATTGGTGAATGTGTCATAGCCAGAGTGCCTCGATGTTAGATGGGGTGACACATCACCCTGGACACGGCATGGTCCATACAGACTTATGGCTGTTCTCTAGACTGCTGTGAGTAGTATCATGTCTTTATCAAATATTGCATAAGGTCATCATTATTGTATACACGTGGTTACAACTTCCACTGACATATATTATCAACATATAAAAATTATAAGGTGCTCATAAGTTGTCACCAATACACAATAAACACTGTCTGAACATACAATCCTTCACAGACGTGGGAATCTTTGGCGCTTTCTCTGACATGTAGCATATCAAAACTATCAAAGAACATACATGTAGAGCTGCTGCATCCCAACACATAAAAACATAGTATGGTCACCCACTAAAGACATAAGAATATAGCTTAGCCACTAGCCAGAATTAGAATTAGACTGACAAGGATATTTGTAATTATAACTGCATGTCGTTTGATTCTTCGTGTAACTTTTGTGACCTCAACTTATCTGACATGTGTATCTGATTGTTGAGTTGTAACACAGGATTAAAGTACAAAGAGCTCTGAAAGTTGAGAGACTTTATTCTTGTAATTTTTATTGCTGTTCCATAGTGTTAAGATGTAAAGCAGTTGTTACTATCGGGTGGATGTGTTGTTTTGTATAACATAGTATCTTGATGCTCTCATATGATATCGAAATTAAACCTTTAATTCAGTACGAGTCAGAAGTAAGACGTTTCGTAAGACGTTTGAGTTTAAATTTCTAACTTAAAGATGATTTCGAAACATAAACCTAAATTAACTGTGTTCTTTGTTTATACATTAATTACTTCAAACGTATATTGGTCTAAGTTTGGTTTATGGGGTATAAAAATTAATATCTTTAACATAAAGATGATTTCAAATGATATATACTTAAAAGCATTATATATATTAAATTAACTGTGTTCTTTGTTTATACAATAATTACTTCAAACTTATATTGGTCTAAATTTGTTGTAGTGAATCAAATTGTTTTGATTAGTTTTCACAGTTGATATAATTGATAGCTTTGATTGCCGGGGGCATACATATTTTGAAGGCCTTAGTTATAATTACCTCATTTGATAATTTAACGAAATGCCGCCGCAGACCTTATAAGTTTGGAGTTGTATATCAAAAGCTAAGTTTAAATTATTTAATAAACATATTAATTATTAATTATAGAAGTAAATAAATATGCAAAAAATTTGGCGGTAATGTAATGTCTTTGTGTGAATTTTCTTTATTTTAAAATCAAAAATTATTGTAAATATGCCTTAAAAGCATTATATATATTATAATAGATATCCACTTGAGGAGAACATTTCTACATTGTAATATGAATTAGATCCAGCCTTTTACCTCTGGTGTCCACGTACGTTCTGTCCACGATTCCCGGAAATGGGTTTCCGTTGGAGAAGGGGGTATAGGGTTCCGTGTATTCCTGTCGGTCGTTGACTGTGATGTTGGAAATTTCTGCATGTTCTAACAACTTCTCGGCGATCGTCTGCTGCTTGTGAGAGGAGCCTACAATCATGGTGAACTTCTTCCAGTTAAAGTGAAGCAGCAGCGCAACCAGGGACTTGGTAACCTGTTTAACGGGGGGATAGGTCCTGGCGAAGGTGGGGTACATACTCTTGATGGAAACTTCATCATCTGCACATTTCTGGGTTAAAAGAAAAGAGAAAAATTATGTTTTGATTTATAATTATAAACAATTGTAGATATCTATGCAAGAAGTTCATTAGCCAGAGATGTCAGCGTTTAGAAGTTTCAATGTGTGTATAATAAAAAAGTGTGGATCGTGTTCACTTTTATTGACAATCGCGATCGTGAGCAGTGAAAAACAGGGTCCCCTGAGAGCAGATAGAGAGGAATCATGTTCCTAGGGGACTAAGCGTCCCTTGCAATTGGTCACATCCGCCGTGTTCATTCTATACAGATCAGAGCAACCCGGTCAAAATTAGTATGAAAACGTAGCTATAAAGCACTTCAGTCAAATTCGACAGTAAAGTATTTAGAGGTTCCTGATAGTGTCAAATAACGAAATAGATTTCGCAAAATTCTAGATCTGAAGATTGTTGAATGTCCTGTTATAACAATATGTTTGTCAGTAGCCTGCTATGTTAAAATATTAATCGTATTCAGAATATGTTCTTGCTTACTGAATCAGTTGGAGAATGCAAATATGCTGCAGGTGATAGTAGCTTCCGTTTAATACATCTTTTGTTTGTTAAACGTCCTCTTTTACAATTTTTACTAACATTGAGACGCCGCATCTCACCAGTGAAGGGCTGCAATTTTAGCTTGACTAGTAAGGGATCTTTTCGTTGCACCACCTACAGTACAGCGACATGTGACCTTGGTTTATAGTCTTATTCGAACGACCGGTCTACACGACACACAATGGGATTCGAACCCGCGACCTAAGGATCAACTCCTTAGTGTGCGACTCTAGAGCAAACGTTCTTGATAATATACCACTGCCGCAACGCAGGAATTAGTGTGATAGCGGTATATTTGAGATCGAGCTGTTCTACAAAAGTAGGGTTAGTGGTCGACGGGGAAGAAGTTTTGTAACATAAGATAGTTGCTCAACTGTAGATTCCCATAAACGTCTACAGTCAATATTATACCCAAAAATCAACAGATTGGAAGATGCCTCAGTATGTTTCATTTCGAATCCATTAATATTTGTCGGATTGACATATTGTGTTACACATAAAGCTAAAAGTCGGTCTGGCCACAACAAGAGATTTTCGTCTCGTGCATAGAAGATTTTGATTAAATTCGCTTCCAGAGAGTTTATAAGTGTTCCGGTTATCGCTAAGGAAGGAGCACAATGAAGGCCCATGGGATGTTTCAGGTATTGGTCTGCAATGACTACATGTGCATTGATATTGTTAATGAGAAATCCCTGCAGGTTTTCATACACATGGGTTAAGCACAGAGTAATTATCTAAATAATAATAATTTTGTTTATGGAAAAAAGGATAATATAAAATTGTAATTTGTTAATGAATTATGTGAACAACCATAAGGGGAAACATAATTTGTAAAGTTTTAAAGTTATTCGGATTTTAACAGATTGTTGCTTAGAGGAAAATTAACGCTGTTTTTTTTTCTTTATTGATAATATGTTAAGATGAAATGTAGCAAACATAATTATAGGGAAAATAAATTTATTTCTGTTCCTTCTTCAATTTTATTCTGTTCCAAAAATTTCAACAAAACGAAGAAAACCTATACAATCGGGACCTGATGTAACACAACTGACACAAATTGATTCCAGAGCACCAGCATTCTTGGTCTCCCTGCCTTAAGTAATGATTTTTCTAATTAATGACATACATTCTCGATGCTCTTCTATAAGATTTCCATTTCATGAGATTCATCAACGTAATGAGAAATAAATCAAACACATAAAGGTATAAAAAGTTCTCCTTACAAAAAATAGACCAATGCAAAGCATTAAAGACTAGCATTGATTCGCTTTCATATTGAATCTCAAAAATGCGCCTGAACTTGAGATGGGTGGGTTATAAGAATACAAATTTAATGCCATTTTGATAGTTTATCCAGTTGAAGGAAAATTCTAACTTTATTATGAACAAAAAACTCCTTTGCATTTACTTTCCCCATTTAAAAGACCATAAAGTATTTAAATTTACTTAATAATCATTTATAAACAGCAGACAGGTGAGAAATCAAGTCTTTGAATACACAAATCAGACACGGCCTCGCTATATCATGATGCCGAATTCAATCCCCCACCATTATCTTTTGAAAGAAGTAAGTGATCGTAAAACACATCCGTATTCATTTGAATTACACATCAATTGAAGGCATTCAGCAAAAATAAAAAAATAAAAAAACCACTAAAGATTCTTGTCTGGAATAAAAGAGAGAATCCCCATAGAAATTAATAAGGCATTAGGAATATCAAACATAACGGCTTTACTATCAGCGAAGCATGGAACGTATTGGTATTATCATCTGAAAAGATACTTCAGTTTGAAAATCGAACAAATGCTAATGAAATGCCTATTTAGGTGTAAACACATTTTTGAATAAGGGGAAGGTAAAAAAATCAATTAAACTTCAGAACACTAAGCACATTTTCGTGAGATATTATGCTGTCAGAAAAGTTTACAGAGAAATTATACTTAATTGGCCACTTCAAAAACAGATTTAAAAGCAATCTAGATTTTTTAAAGACGCATTCTTTGTGTTTTGGTTCTCTGAAGTATGAAAGCTTGCAAATGGCAAAGGCTAATGTAGAATGAATGCTAGGTGTTTATGTCTAGATCAGACCATTAAAATGATGTATAAAAACCAAGATAAGAGAAGAAACCAACAGTTTTTATTTTCAAATCGACAATCATTTCATACTTTATTATTTGATTATGATAATATAGTTACCTAGATTTAAATATATTTTTAACTACCTAGATCTGAAATCCTTTATAGTGGTTCGATATAATATAAACAATAATGAAAAGGAAAACGAACTAAGAAATGTTGAAAAATAGACTTAAAAAATTATATACATGTATACTGTATCCGAATTCTAATATATCGTCGATATCTTCTCAGTATTTAAGATAAGTGTTAAATATATGCATATGAATGTTTCAAACAACGCATTTGAAGGTAGCTCTGCAGGAATTGTTTGTGTTGATTACGAAAGCACTCTTAATAGTTTTTACATAATTTAAATCTGAAAGTACAGAAGTATTGCAAGATGAATCAAAGACAACAATGAATTTTCTGATTTCATACAGAATTTGGTAAGAGATTTTTAAAATTTTAACATACCGCACATAAGTAATTGACTTTTCAAAAATTGAAAAAAGGTGAAAATAACGGATAGTTATCGATCTTATAAGGTTCACAAACAAACTGTGAATCATAGAGTTATAAGACACTGAGTCCTGGCGATTCCAGAGGTGGGATCAGGTGCTCGGGAGGAGTGAGCATCCCCTGTCCCGGATCACATCCGCCGTATATAAGCCCGTATGATTTGAGGGATACATTGCGTTGTCAAATCTAGTAAAAATATTAAGTATGAAACAAGTCAGACAAAATACAAACCAATGAGAAGTTATATTTACTAATAAGGTCAATATCACAACCATATAATTTACGAAATGCCCATTTTTAAAAATGGTCGTTGAATATCCTGTAACATCAACTTATTAGTAAATAATCTCCCGATTAGCTCGATATAGAATAATATTTTCTGAGTACAATCAATTTAATACCGAGACAGGCCACTGACTATTATGAGCTGATGTTACGGAGATCTCAGTCATCTCACAGACACTTCTAGCATCATATTAATTGGCATTGCTGCATTCAGTCCCCTTTTAAGCCGAATATTACAGCAAGGACATTATCAACAACACCATTTAAATATTAATATCTGATTTCATTTTGATACTTTTCATCAGAAAGTTTAAGGCAATTTACCGGTAGAAATCTCAAAGAATTTCAGGCTTCGAATTTTCAAGCAATTTGATCTACTAAATTTTATAACATGCGCCTTTTTTCGTCTCTACAAAGATTTTAGTATTTATTTAAACCATTCTGATAATGTGTGTAGAATATTATCTACATTCTACATTGGAGCAGACTTGTTAAACACCTACATGCTGTTTATGTTCTATTTATATAGCTGATTTGTTTATGAACTTAATTGCGAGTAGAAGATGATTAGACTTGTTCCAAATGTTAATTCATTCAACGCAGGTGTGATGATGACAGGGGTGCAAAATAATATTTTCTTAATGATAACTACGCTAGCTTCACAGATTTTATATTGGTTAATGTAAGACAGCGATAGTAATATATTTGAATAATTAACCATAGAAACCCACCCAGACTAGTTAGTGTTGTTTCATACGTGAACATTTTCTGGTTCTGGTCTGTTCTGGTCAAAGTACAAAATGATTCCGAGGTCTGTCTCATCTTCTTGATAAGAATCTTGCTTTGAATTGTAAATTCGAATGACAGTATGCATAAAGTTCTTAAAAATATTATATAAAAACTTGTAATATTATAAAGCGACACAATTACATAATGTATTAACACAAAAAATACTGGATTTCCAATTTTTAAACAAGAAAAAGAATTGTGTCCTTTATACACCTAGACTATCAAAAGAGTCCTCTTAGGTTACATTAATTGAGTATTTTAGGCTATTTCTGACTCTCAACAATGCAACCATTGACCGAGAAATTCTCTTTTATTTAAGCAACTGTGCAAACAATTACAGCTAAAATTATCTGTGTACTTCACGTGGGATTTTTTCTAAACTAAGGTAGATCTGCCATCATTTTATGAATCCTAGTTTTGAACTTTGACCCCCATCCCATTCACTGTACTGGTAGCAGTGCTGTACTGTACTGTACTGTACTGGTAGCAGACCTGAGGTGGGTCTCAGTAATGTTCGCTTTAACAGGCAATGCATATTAAATGATCACAATGAACGAAGCAGACGGTATATGAAATTTAAGATTGCAACTTGATATAATTCGGGTAAACTTCTTCACACCTTCCAAAATTTTAAGAATGACATTTAAAGGGGCTGGGGATTGTGGCCATTTTCAGACTATTTTGACCTCCTTTAAAAGAAGAGCTTCATATAAAAATATATAACCAGAAGTCTCTGTCGAGACTGAAACTCTACTGGTTTGTATTTATAGCAAAGGAAGAGGAAAGTACTTAAGCAGTTGGGAATTGAAAATTTGCACAGGCAAAAAAGAGAATAATGATCCTTGAATAAGTCTCTTTATGTTCTTAGTGTAGTCTACTTGCAAGCCACATTATATTATAATCAGACTAAAACTTTATTTGAAGTAGCAAATTTGAGAGTAACAGAAATTGCTATCTTTATTAACCAAGGTAATAATGTTCATTGAAGTCAAAAACGGATATAAAGAATTATGTACCTTAGTGTAGTCTACTTGAGTGCCAAGTTATATTGAAATCATACCAAAACTGTAGGAGGAATAGCATTTTGAAAGAATTTCACAGAAATTTCTATTTTTGGTAACAACGCCAACACCTTTCGTCGAAATCAAAAACCGATATACAGAATTATGTATCTTAGTGTAGTCTACTTGTGTGCCAAGTTATATTGAAATCAGACTAAATTTGTAGGAGGAGTAGCATTTTGAAAGAATTTCACAGAAATTTCTATTTTTAGTAACAATGCCAACACCGTTCGTTGAAATCAAAAACCGATACACAGAATTATGTATCTTAGTGTAGTCTACTTGTGTGCCAAGTTATATTTCAGACCAAAACTGTAGGAAAGCATTTTGAAAGAATTTCACAGAAATTTCTATTTTTAGTAACAACGCCAACATTCGAAATCAAAAACAGATATACAGAATTATGTAACTTAGTGTAGTCTATTTGTTTGCCAAGTTATATTGAAATCATACCAAAACTGTACGAGGAGTAGCATTTTGAAAGAATTTCACAGAAATTTCTATTTTTAGTAACAACGCCAACACCGTTCGTTGAAATCAAAAACCGATACACAGAATTATGTATCTTAGTGTAGTCTACTTATATGCCAAGTTATATTGAAATATCAAAACTGTAGGAGGAGTAGCATTTTGAAAAATTGTTTACAGACAGACGGACGGACGCCGGACGCATTACTATCGCATAAGCTCTTCTGGTCTCTGACCAGTAGAGCTAAAAATGATCAAATTTAAAAACTAACATGTATGAAATTTTTCTTTGCCAAATTATAGTTGACAGCTTAAGATACCATATCTTAAAATTTAAGTTAAATCTGGTGGTTAATTAGTTGAACCCCTGCCTCCTTAAAAATTTTAGAACAAATATTTGAAAACCCAGTTGCAAGTGCATTGAAAAAAGTATTAATTATTCTAAAGAATTTAAGATAGATAAACAGTTTTAAAAACTGCAACAAAAGAAAAAAATAAATAAATAAATATGCTACGAATTCAATATAATAGGTTCATTTTGTTAAAAGTGTTTTTTTCCCAGCAAGAGTAAAACAAAATAGGATATTTTCTGACTAGACTGTTTACTAATTCCCTTTTTAAAATCCTCTGTTGAGGTATGTAAAATGTAAAAGACAATTACAACATGCTTTTGAGGCTATAAGGTTCCAAAGACAACACGTGATATCAATTTATAATCTGATGATAGGAGAATGAAGGAAACTGTCGCAATTTTCTTAAATTATGTGACTTTTATTTTATGAAAACCCATAATTTTCAAAGCATTGAGTTAATGCATGTAGGATATCATGCTGTAAATTTTAAATTTACTGATTTGATGTAAATGCAAAATTTACATTCTAAATTTTGCATTTATTTTACATGTTACTCATCTCAAGTTAGTAAATTAAAAATCTACATTATAATAATACCTTGATCTTTTAATCTGGGTTCCAAAAAAGATTTCCTTTATTTATCATCAAAATCTTCACGTCACTAATGAATCGTAAATAATGAAATTAGTTGCAAGATTTATTTGACAGAAAAGAAATTAGTTCTTATATTATATTAAGAATAAAAACGGACTAAATTAATAATTAATCGCGGTTAGTACTTGCCTAAGTAGTTTATTTGATAGGATTTATCAATATACCAGAACAATAAATCTCATTAAATATATGTTATAAAACTAGACAGGCATACATATACTTATTATAAAGTGTGTTTATTTTGAATTCTTTGTACAAAATCGTAAACTTGCTTACATCCGTGTTATCTTGTTCCCATTATCGTTATTAATGAGAAATGTTAAATAAATGATACATGTGGCCCTTTAGAACAATGACTTACATAAGATATAAGTGGGAGGTTCCATGCTGCGGCCACCCGGGCCTCCACGCTGCAGCTATCCTCCAACCCAAAGAAGGCCACCACCCCCAGCTTCCATTGGTCCGTCAACAGTTTGACGGCGGTCAGTGTATCCCCTTTGGTGTCTCCCCATATCAGGTTCAGGAAGTGATTTGGAAGGACTTCCGGATTGGCGTTCACCCGTTCCAAAGCGTAAGTTATAGCACCGGAAATAATCCTCCCTTGTCGATTCCGGATGTATTTGTCAGTTTTGTCAACCGTTAAATATCCAACAGTTATATTTGTTTTCTCACAAACATACAGACGAACCACGTTAGACAAGGAAATCACAAATACAATAAAATACACACAGAACGGAATTTTCATTATTTATAAGTGAAAGTAGAGATCCATTACTTTGATTTGGTTGAAACATGTTCCGGCAAACAATTTTCTGAGATGCCTTTCCTCTCTCCTTCAGGTATAAACCCAAGTTCTCATCGGAAATATTGATTCAAAAACTTTTCCCCTGTAACAAAGCAAGACAAAACAAAAATTATGTAACTCATTATTTCTTAGTCAAACGGATAGGTTCTAATACTTCCTTTGAAGTTGTCTAACAATGGCCTGCCAAGGAAAAATGAAAAAGCAATATTATAACAGGTATAGGAATCAAAAAATATACAGTAAAATTAATAAAAATGAGATTCTCCGATCTACCAAAACATTATCCACTTGGCTCACATCATATTTGACCCCTTATTCTCTTTAACACTCTCTCCTCCAGAAATAGACGGGAATTATTTTTCTGGCTACTGACTCCTCTAATGTAATTAACAATCATCAGGTGTCAATGTCAATTACTCTCAACCGCAGTCCTCCTGATAGTAATAGAGCTCGTCAACATTCTGGGGAAATTCTAAAACGTTAAGCATACAGCCCTGTGGTACCTATAAACCACAACATAACCCGCAATAGACATGTACCTTAGCCAGACGCTGAAACATAAAAGTTTTACTCGGAGAGTTTGGAACTATCGGTAGAGAGCGAACTCATCAAACGTATAGAGTACGGTCTACAATGTACATATCGATTAACAATAAAAACAGGGTAGAAATTGACACAATTTCTGAGGAAAGAACATCAAAACTTTATAGTTTTTCCCGCCTAAAAATAGAATATGGCAAAAATATGTCTGAATCCGTCGGTATAGAATTCGAAGGAATGAGAATTGATTTTATAACACCAGTAATTTAAAGGATGAAGGAGTATGGAAACCTATTTTGCGCAACAACTTTTTTGTTAACTTTTTTGTTCTGTTCTAACACATCTTTGATGTGAAACATGCGTAGAATGGACCCCATATACATGAAATTTACGTTATTCTATCACCTGAAGTACATGAAAAAGTATCACGACTAGCACCTTTTAAAAATTTAATATAACACTTAAGAATGCTATTTTTATATGCGCAAATCAATCAATGATTTTTGTGAAAAAAAAAATACACTGCTTACAACTGTCTATTTCGAAAATTGAATCCGATCAATTAGAAATAAAAATTTAGAAATACGATAATGTACAGTGTATGCACCTGACGTTATAAATGCTCCAAGAGTTGAGAGATCTGCCAAGGACCGACTGTATTGATCATTTTTGGGATTGTATTCAAAAACTATCGGCAATTATACCAGTCGATTAAATGTCAAAGGAGAGATTCAAGGATCTTCAGTTTCTTTTGAATTAAAAAATCTAGCAGAAAATTAGAGGGATTTTTCTTATATAAGGAAAATCATTGCAGTTCTGATAACTTTAAATGTGCTTGTTTCTTTTCTTAGAGTTACACGTGAAATTAAAAGATATTTTATCAAATGACGCAGAATATTTTTGATATAGAAAAATGCATACCTTATAATTAGAGGAAGACGTTTTAAAAAGTCCTTTTAAAATAAGGCATAAATCCTTCAAAATTCAATAGAATTCTTATTACGATGGATCATTATTTTCTGTACTCTTTTGGTCGCAAATCTTTAACCATTTTAAGATTAGAGGGAAATTCGATATTTGAGAATGTGAGCTGCAGAGCAAGCCATCTTAATAGTTCACTAGTTTGTACAACTGTTGAATGGGGCAATTCATTATTCCTGCGGTATTATTCAATAACCATTGCACAGTTACACATTGTATCGCGTTTTGAAGTCACTAGGAAACGATGGAAATAATTCTTATAAAATAATTCAGATGCATTAGTTTCTTTTCCAGTCACAAAAACATTACAAGACATTAAGCATTAAAGCAAAGTCATGTAAACTTTGATATGAATGCTAGGAATGCAGAGAGATGTAATAATTTTCAAAACTAATGTTTATAGCATTATGGATTGGAAATTTATTCATAAGTTAGAGCACAGTATGAGACCAATGGTGCTCAGTAGATAAAGTTAACCCATTTCTGAAAACTCTGAACGCTCGTCTTATAAAATCAGGGTTACTCTATGAACACCGCCTGGAGGTTTACCTTCAGAAAAAATTAATGTACATTCTATCTGGAGAATACTCACTTCTTGTGATGCTAGACCACCTGTGTGGCTATGCTTTTTTTGTTTTTATTTACAATTTATTATCGATGATCTAACTATACAGTGTGGGTAATAGACCTAACACAAGTAAAAGACAACTTCATTCAGTGTTGTTTTCCTTAAACTGTTAAATTCAACTGGTCTATTATATGCACTTCTTTTTGTCAAACAAAGAGGTAGAGCCACTTTGGGCCTTATTTGGCCCTGAGAATTGCTGAAAATTCAAAACCGCTCAGTTTGGGTTGCAAATGCAGTATTGGACTGTTGGTGACCATGTGTCTATTAATTGTGACGTAATTTCACATCTAGTCAATGCATTATGACGTCATAAAATGCGTCATTTTCCTCATATCCTGTAAATTCCTTTGAAAATGACCTAAAGTTGAAGCATTTTTTCAATATTTCATATAGAGCACAACCTCTGATCCAAAATATGCCAATACATAATGAAAGGCCTATTTCTGAAGATCATAAAACATGTTTTATTTTTTGGATCGTGGGCTGTGCTCATATTTTAATTCTTTGTTGAAGGTAGTCAAATACGTATATTTTCTGCAAATTTCAAAAACATTGCAATTTCTCAAAGCCTGTTTTCAAATATTTGGATTCTCAAAATGAAATTTCAATATAGAACATGAAAGCACCAAGTGTCTACTTTATTTTGATATATGAAAATGGAAAGAGGGTGATAGTTAATTAATTGATATAAGTATAGGGCCATTTTATGCATAAGATGGCACTTGCTCTTTTATATCAATGTAACTTGAGATGTGACTACAACTACGGAGGTATCATTGTCGCTAACTATGGTCAAAATATACGATCATCTCCCATTCAGAAGTTTATGCGGGCACCATACCGAGGCTTGAGACAATGGGAGGTGTATTAGTGCTGAAATACTGTGCTGTGGCTGTAAATGCAAGGAAAAGGAAAACTTTCAAGTGTTTTATTGAACATTTGCTGAATTGCCAGGCTGTTAATTATGGCAACCGTTTCACTATTTATTCTGAAATCAAGATATCTCGAGAATTCATTGTGCCATTTATAGCCTAGTCCCCTGGCTCATCCTTGCCAAGGCAGTGACGCAGAGTACATGAAGCAAAAACGGGACAGGGAACCAGACTGTCATTTAGAACTATTGATTTTAATTTTAGTTAAAACGCGTTATTTGATTGAATAAATTATTTTACTATACTTTTGGTTGTAACCCGTCATTTGATTGGATAAAAAATTATTTTCATGTATAACCTGCGTTGCCTACGTCACAATGCCTTAGGCCCAATTGGTATCCTTAGTATTTTCAAAGACATCAAAATAAAATATCATAATAAGAGGTAAGAGCTATTCCTAAAAACAGAAAAAATTAAATTTTGACAAGGTTACATGTAACTACCAGAAATATTGCTTTTCAGTTCACCTAAGTCACTCAGGTGACCTATTGCTATCCGTTTTTGTCCGTCGTCGTGTGTTAACATTTGAACATTTCCAGCTCCTTCTCTGAAACCACTAAACCAATTTCAACCAAATTTGGTATACAGCATCTATGGATAAAGGGGAACAAAAATTGTGAATTTTATGGTCCCCGCCCACCTGGGGCCTGAGGGGTGGGGCCAAAACCACTAAAATTAATGAAATCTTTAAAAATCGTCTTCTTTACTCCTGGGCATGAAGCAGTCAAACTGCTGGCATGATTGTTATGAGCACTGAGTCTTCTACCAAAATTGTGAAATTCATGGCCCCAGGATCAGGGGTTCTAGTGCGAGGGCGGAGCTATATAGAGTATATGGTGAAAATGCATTATTTCTCTGAAAATCTTCTCTGCTCCTGGGTGTTAAATAAACCAACTAAGTACACAGTTATGATGAGCAAGAGTGCCTTTTCCAAAATTGTGAATTTATTAAATTCAATAATTCCATTAATAATGGCCCCAGGGTCAGGGGTTCTGGTGTTGCGGCGGGGCTATATTGATTATATAGTGAAAATGCATTAATTCTTGAAAATCTTCTTCTCTGCTTCTGGGTATTAAATAAACTAAGTACATAGTTATGATGAGCAAGAGTGCCTCTTCCAAAATTGTGAATTTAATAGCCCTAGAGTTAGGGGTTCTGGTGTTAGGGCGGGGCTCTATTGATTATATAGTGAAAATGCATTACTTCCTTGAAAATCTTCCTCTCTGCTTCTGGGTATTAAATGAACCAACTAAGTACATAGTTATGATGAGCAAGAATGCCTCTATTAAAATTGTGAATTTTATGGCTCCAGGGTTAGGAGTTCTGGTGTTAGGGCGGGGCTCTAGTGATTAATTATAGAGTGAATATAAATATCTTTCAGTCTTCTATGCTTCTAGGTAATAAGCAGATGAACTACCTATATGGTTATGATGAGCATGGGCCCTTCTTCCTGAAATGTGAATTTCAAGGCCCCTGGGTCATAGGTACCATGGGGGGGGGGGGCTCTACTTATATACTGAAAACGAATTAATTATTTCAAATCTGCTCCTTGGTATTAATCAAACATTTTTGATAAGCAATGGTGCCTTTTCAAAAATTGTGCAATGTGTGGACCTAGGGTCAGGGGTTCATGTGTGGTAGGGGCACTACTAATTATTGCTGAATATTACTGATTAGTTGAAATGCATTTTGTTCCCCTACCCTGCCTATGGGTATTAAGTAACCAAACTAAACAATTGCTAAGTGTATGGTTATGATTAGCAATGGTGCCTCTTTCAAAATTGTGAATGCCATAGCATTTAGCTTAAAACGTGAACCAAATTCAATCATCATAATCATTTGAACGTTGTTGAATGATAGGCAGGTGACCTATAAGGCCCACGGGCCTCTTGTTTTCATAATAGAGCTTATTAAGAAAAATAGCAATAGTTCTGCTTGATATCAATAGTATACTAAGGTCAACTCTGGGGAATCAGACACTTCTTTAAAATGTCTCTCAAACAATGTAGATATGTCTATCGAAAAAGTTGTTTTTTTTTATGCAAAAAAAAAATCACATTGGGGGGGATACCTCCTTTAATAATAAATGTTCTCTGCATTTCGAATAAATAGTAAAACAGCTTGCCATAGTTAATGTGTCTGAAAGCTGAATCTCGAGAATACTACAAAGTGCCGAAAGATGTATTCAGTTCACTGGGTTTTATGACAAACTTGATTTTTTTCGGAAGTTTACAGAATTCGCTTCACTGGCAATACAATACGAACGTGTAGCGGCAAACTAGAGGACAGCCAGCATATCACCTGCGGGTCTGCTTACTCTCTGCTCTATATTGTCGGTGGTCCCCAGGAATAGACACGAGGAGTATTGACTCAGAGAGGATGTTACCAAGCCTCCATTTACCCAAGTACCTAGGTATCGACCAGGGTCTGGTCTCCATCCAAAGAAATCAGATTAAGGTAGAGCAATTTGATCAAAACTATCGACCTTAAGTCGTATACTATATGCAGTGTAAAAGTAGTTGTGTTGAGTTTTGAAACCATCAGCCCTTAAGAATCGAAATAACACAAAAGAAGGTTAAGCAGATTATATCCTTTTTTGAAATTTACAGCATTTTCATGTCTGCCCACATAGTAGAAAGTATTTAAAAAATGTTAATACATGTAGTCTTTTTAACTGGTC